TTTCTTTTCATTTTGACTCACTATTTTAGGGTAACAGGCAAAAACAATCACCTGCACCCAGCTCCTGAAAGACCAGTAGCACTAATCCAGGATTAAAATTTGAACATTTGATTTCATTTAACTTCCTGGAGACTGATTACTATAGATAATAATTATCATTTTATGTTGTCATAACTGGATCCTGAAGTTCAGGCCCAATATTATTTATCCAGCTTTGCACTTATATTTGCCTTTTTATTCTGGGTTAAACTTAACTTTTTTCGAGGAACCAAGCCTAGGAATTTGCTTTCCAAGCAATCAGACTTGAAGTCAAATTTTCAGTGATCTTTTGAAAAGTAATCATTTGAAACAACCAGTCCCAAAGAACCAGTAACTGAGGCCCTTCCATGCCTTTTGTCAAGTTTTGATTAAGACCAGTCAGCGAATATCCATTAAAACTGCTGGAAAGAGCACCTTTAAATAAAACTTTAATACCAAGTTTATAGTTGATATGTGGCGATGTTTGTATGGTGAAGGTACGAACTTGCCCCCCACCATACAAATGTCTGTAAAATTTGGTGACTAATTGTGGAGCTACATGTATATCTTCATTACTTTTCAACAAATCACATTCAAACTTGGCACCTTTTCTAACTTAAAGGCATTCTTTTCAGCCGTGCTAATGGATTATCACTAACTTGTCTCTAGTCTACTTCACAGCCGTTTTTAGGCTTGTCATGAGGGGAGGAGAGTGGCGTGATGAGCCTTAGAAGGGCTGTGAAGGAGACTAACTTGTCTCAGTCAATAGTTGAAAAAATTGTGGAGGGGTTTATTCCCTACTGGATAGAATGCTAGTACATTGCAAGGAACAATTCAGGACTGAGTAATGATTGCAGACTGGTTAGCTCCATTCTGGGATTAACCCTCTAAGGACCTTTTTAATGGAGTTGGGGGACCCCAGGTAGGTGAGGTAACCCGTCTGTTCATATAATCTCTCATTTCAGTTGGATCATGTTTACATGATTGGTGGGGTGACCTGCCAGAAGTTACCTGAGCACCTATCTGGGGTCCCCCACCTCCACGTAAACAGGCCCCTAGTCGTAAGAGTGACCAACATCAATTTTCGCCTAACAATTCATATCAATACATTATGAGGCAAAAAATGTTATCAGAATCAGTAAATGTTCATTGATCACCTTTGGCATACTGCCTTGATCTTTTAACAATAATTCTCTTCTGATCACTAATTCTTTAACGAAATGTATAAAGATCAGTCAGGAGAATTTTGTATGTAGATACTGGGACTTAAAGGTGAAATGTAAACAAAGTTGTTATGGTAACTAAACCTGGATTTGTGCTAACTGGCCTTTTATAAACAAGTAAGTGCAATTGACCATGCTCCATGGAAAATTGTGTTAAAATAACTTTTAATTAGTTTATTGTAATTGTAGCTTAGCCCATGGTACTACCGCTTCTCTGTGGATAGCATGTCACCCAAGAGATACATGTATGCTCCTAATAATTATATTGGTACATATGGACTTTATGCTCTTCCCTCCCAGATGATTTAAGCCACTTATCCATTGCAAGCTAGCGTGCCACCCTTGTTGGTCTAGGGTAGGGCTAGTCCCTGAGTACTTCTACTGTCCTTGTGTATGAGATGCTAGTTCACTGCACAGTACCTGCCAGGATAAAACCCACCCATGTTCTCAGATCAGATGCAACACCTTGGACAAAACTGATTAAGACAAATGACTAATTCTGACTAAAATAAAAACTTTCAATTGCTAAGAAAAGGGCTGTTCTCCCCCCCTCCCCCGTCCCAAGCCTCTCTTTTTGTTTTGGATAACACAAGCATAGGGAGCCCCAACACATTGACTTGGCAGTGGAGAGGGGGTGGATTTCTGCTTTGATGACATCATCGTATGGACCATGATTTATTAAAAAAAATAGATGGAACTGTCTCAAGACTTTTATCCAAGGCTGTAGTTCAATGCATAGTCCCTCATTTTAAGATGGACTAGCACTTCTAGCTGCCTGCAGTCTTTGCTACAAGAGAAAATTTATCTTATTCATAATGAACAAAATAACTTAGCAGTTAGTAACAATAATATTATAATGAATACTCACATGACAGTCTTGATCTGGTGGGTACAGTTCTTTCTGTGGATAAAAAGGCAGCAACTGTGAGGAAGAATCTATAAAACTGACAAGTAAGGGGTATATTACTACTATTCTTTGTTACAATGGTTTTTAAAATTATTTGTCATGTGTTCATTTTTTTTTTTGACAATTTTTTGGGGTTTTAAAATAAACACAAAGTACAGGGATTTTTCTTTGACCTTGAAAATGGTTCTCTGATATTTGTTTATTATCTATTTCAGGCTATAGCAGGGTGCAAAGAAAATCACTTTTACAGCTTGCAAGTCGGGCAAGCTGAAGCTAGCATAATACTAGCCCAGATATCATTTCAACTATAGCCCCAATAACTTTTTGATGAGCAGAATTGATTTCACAGTTCTTCTGTTATTCGAATTCCTCAAAAAACATCACTTACACATCGGGCAAGTTAAAAACAGAATTCACTAGCCCAATAGCAAAATCCACTATCAGACACTACTTTCTTTGCACGCTTTACAGACAAAAAATGATCAAAACTCAAACTCATGGTTGTGCCATCAAAAGAAAACCTTACAAGGGTATTTAAAGGAGAGTTTTGACTGTCCAATCAGGGGGGGGGCATTAGGGGGAAGGGAGCAGAGACAAGAAAGAAAAAAGAAAGAGGAGAAGTTTCTAAAACTGCTCCTCTGTCTTCCTCTTCATTTTTATACTTTTTTAACATAGTTCGATGATACACCCGTAGAGGAACTGGCTATGTTGAGTCATGAACTGTGGAACCCTGCTCTACATACTGCACTGCTTAACACTTTACGCCCCATTATCCACATACAAATTCTCCTAACTGATCTCCATACATTTCCTAACAGAATTAGTTGAGAGAAATCTCACGAAATTCACAAAAACACGAAAAATACCAAGAAATTTGGTAGAAATCTTATTAAATACATGCCTGGACAATATATATGAAATGTATTTCAGCTATTGGGGCTATTTAATTGCCGTGAACTTGCAAATTTATCATAGAACTTTCGCCACTGAAACGTGCAAACAATGTCCTGAAACTACCAGGGGTAGATTATGTTATGAAAAAGAGTGTATTGTTGTTGAGAGAACAAATGATGACCTCTGTTAGAAAAATGTTAAAAACACTAGTCTGATCAGCACAAAACCGATCGATTTCTAGTGAAATTTGCCTTGAAAATAACCACAAAATCCGCCGTTTTTTACCGATTGCTTTTTGGTGAAGTTTGCCTCAGAAATTCCCGCGAAATAGACCAATTTTTCCACGAATTTGACCCAAAAAAATCCTGCAAAATTTGACTTTTTCTTCCGTGACCTGTCAGAAGCCCTGTTTAAAGATCAACGCATTTTCCCTTAGGTGATCATTTTATTTATTCTCAACAACTGTTTTTTTAATTAATATGTATCGATATTTTTGGGAGAAAATTGTTGTTGGTCACTCTTAAGACTTAAAGGAAACAAGCCCTTGCTCTAACATATCAAAAGAAAGGATAAGGTGTGAATAAAAAGTGTGTTCAAACCTTTTTTTGTGACATGAATTCCTCATAGGATTCAGGCATATTGAAAAACGCAAACACGGCAACGGGAAAGAACACATACAACACAATCTGTAAAGCAAATCATAATAAGAAAATTTAATAATGATTCTTCCTGAATTGTTGCCTGTTGTGAACGATCAGGTATGAATGCACTGTAAATGGGAAACAGTCAAAATACAGTTCAACCCCACTCTACATATACACCCATACATAACTGACAGTTTCATTTGTCCAGAAAAAGCTCTTATATTCTCTTTAAAATTAACCGCTTAATACAGACATTGGTTAATACAGACAATGGACACTTTTCTGTGACTCGAGTCACAAACTCTCATTCATTATCAACCCCACGTTATGGACACTGCTTTTCTGCACACTGTCTATGAATAAATATCTTACAGGTAAATAACTAACAGAAACAACACAAATGACCTGTCAAAAGTTCTGTCTACTGTTCAGTCCCCCTGGCTGAGTCACAAACTTGGAGCACCAATACAAAGTAGAGTCATGGATTCTTTTGTTGTATTTCCCGACAAATAATTGAAAGGGACAAGGTAGATTTAGTCTGAGACTATGATAAATAACTAAGAGACACATTTAATGATCATTTAATGATTGTGAGGTTTCTTAAGCATGAACTTGTTATGGTTATTGCGCTTACAATGTTTTCTCATAAAAATGTCTGCTCTTATCTCTAGATCAATAAAACAAGTGTCCATGACATTTTTTCTTCTTTTCTTTTCCTGAGAGCCTGCTTAATATGGACACTCTGATAAAACGGACATTGTGGCATGTCCCCTTGGTGTCTGTATTAATGAGGTTCCACTGTTAAGCAGCATATGGATCATTAACAATGCTTTTAGCAAGGCCCACTTCAGATGCTGAATATTCAAAACCTGAACCTTGCATGTATGCTTTAAATTAAGTACATAAAAAGTTCTGTGTCTGAATCAATAAGGAACAATTACATTGACTAAACAAATTGGCCTGCTGCTAATGTATGGGTCTCCATAGCTCAATTAACTAGAGAATTGCAGTGCTAACACAGAGGCCATGGGTTTGAATCCCACTGGAGTAACAATTTCTTTTTTGGGGGGGGGGGGGGAGGGGTTAATTGGCAATTGTTTAATTTCAATTACCACTGTGCCGATCAAATCTTCATTTAAAGTTGTAATTACTGTTGGGATGTCAGCTGCCAGTATCAGTTAAGCTTATTGTAAACCTAACAAACTAAGTTTATCAAATTTGGTGTCTGAATCAACAGGTATAGACAGTTTTTTTCTTCACTTTGGATCAGAAGCTCAGCTCAGTGCAGAATCTGAGCTAGGTCTATGAAATGCTTTTCTTGCTTACTTTCTTTTCACTATAATTCAAAAGCATCTACTCAATGAGGCATGTGCAAGTAAAGACTTCCTCCCACCCTACCCTGGACATACATGTAGTGTCATTATTGTGTGATTAGCTGTTTTTGTTTCAGGCATAAAAACATGTAAGATTGGAACACCAGAAAGCTGGTTTGAGTAAGATTTCCACCCAGGTACATAAAAAAAGTGCATGCAGCAATCTCAGTTGCAATTTTACATAAATAAGTTAATACATAAAATAGAGTTAGAACATGCAAGCATAATGAATGCATGGGGCTGTGCAGACATTTTACTCTAGTTGTGTAGCAGTTTGTTTAAGTTTACTGTTATGTCTTAAAGGTCAGACATGAGCTATAAATAACAAGGATCACACTGATCCTTTTACGTAAATTGTAAAAAAATAATGTTTGGAAAAACAGAACGACTAATGACAAATACTTCGCTGGGAAGTACGAAAGTTGTATAATTTAATTTTAAGAAAAAGAATTCACGCTGGGTTCCGCATGAGCGCAGTCTTGTTGGCGAGTTCTCACGTAGCTTAGCGTACCGGAACAGATTAGTTTAAGTCTGGTAAGATTATTAACATTATTTAGAATAACACATATATAATTGTAGGTTTACTCTCCCAAAAGAACTGATAGCTGTAACTAAAACGACATTGACCCCAATTATCACCAGAAATACAAAAAGAGAAATAAATAAAACTAATCGTATTACCCGGCCAAGCTCAATCTTCGATCCTATCGCCATCTTGGACGGGGAGACACTTCCACGCATAGTTCGTTGATGGTTGACCGCACGATATTAATCAAGGATTTGAGCCCGCGGTTTGTCCGGATATAAACATGGCTGCTGGTATACCAACCCTTTCCCAGGTAAGCTGTGTTTTTTTATTGTCTCAGTGTAAAAGAATATCACGATTGTGACATTTTGCGTTACTTAACAGTGTCTCATGTCATAGTCTTTTTCCCCATGAGATCTCTGTGATTTATTGGCGATCGTAATTTCATTTCATCATCGCAAATTGATAAGCTTACTGTACAAGGTAAAGATCGAGCTGAGTGTTGGAATTAAAAGGGGCATTGAATTTATGTTTGTGGCGCATTCAGCAGACATCAGCTGTTCCATATGTCTTCCTTTGTTTAAAAAATATGTTTTGCAAATCACTGTTGTGAAGATTCCTGTGGATTGTTTAAACGGAGCCTTTTTTACCACTGCTACAAATACTTCTATGGCTTATCTAAAGTGAACCTCAATCTTATATTGACTGCAACAAACACACTTTGATTGTCCATTTGGTCGATTTTGCAAAAAGTGCTTTTAGGGCGATTATATCTCGATGCAAATCATCTTAAATTCACATGGTCTATTTTTTTCCGAGACGGAGTCTAGATCTATCAGCATCAGCATGGTATAAATCAATTAGTCCTTTGATTTAAAACAAATCCCCCGCCGCAGATCGTCTTGTTTCTTTCGTGACATCATGCCTTTACGCCCCTCTTATATCAAAATAGATAGAATATCTAAGATAATTTTCTTATCATGTGGTAAACATTCACGCATTTGTTGTTTTTCCTTTGCTCATAGCTCTCGGCGGGACATGCGACTGTCTATGAAAGTTTTTTCAGACAAGTAAGCCTGTTAATTTATAATGAATCCTTTTTTCTTTTTATACGCGTGACTTACCTGTGCTAATTTTGTAATCATAGGGTATACTATTTATATTATGACTACACTTGAAACACTCAAAAGTAAAAAAAAAGTTTCTTATACTTACACGTTATTTTGGTCAGTAAAGACCGTCAAATTTCATTTTGAAAGCAGCATTTATGAGATGAATCAATCTAAACATCACACAGATAGTAGACAAGTGATTGGGACCAGGCAGTATTTATTTACATTCCACAGTGCAATAAACCACTAGACTATTAACAATTCAACGTAAACGATAAGAAAGAGGATACTACAGCCATACAATGAAATCAACCGAAAAATTACAAAATGAAGAAACAAAAACAAAACAACGAACAATCAAACTGCCTTAGGTGTGGGTGGGGGGGAAGCGAAAATACAAGCTATTTAAAAATGCTATAATTGCTGTTGCTAGTAAAGCGTAGGTTCAAATGAACTCAAATAGCTATACATCTAATACGAAACGTGCTAGGTTGGGCAATCCCCTGAGACTTACTAGCGTGGACTATTTTGATTGGTTCTAATAAAGTCTTGTGATAATTCAATGAAAGTTGCTCAATATGAAAATACGGACTATGAACCCTTCCTGCCCCCAACCAGGGCCTCTCTGCTACCAATGTCTAGATTTATATTAATAGGATTAATATTCACATTAATCTAACTGCCACTTTGTCTAATCTTCGTACTCTTGTACTAGCCTACAAATACATAATTTAAACATAGAGATCAGACAGTGTATCAAGTAATCTCTTACATGATGTTAAAATCAATGGAAAAGTACAAAACTGTCACTCCAAAAAGTGGTAGCGACCACGAGGTGGTTATTTACATGGAGTTCCAACTGCAGGTCTTTCACTGGGAAGGTTTTGGTGTCTTGGATTGATGGTCACTTAATAGGTAGTCGAACATGGAGGTTTGACAGTACTTATTCCCATAATACTTCCCAGCCTGTTTTCTCCATACCCCAGGGGAGTATATTCAACAAAGGTTTGTACAGGGAATCTCCCCCCTGAGGTCCAACTCCTCAACATTTTAATTACCATTTTTGACAGACAAGATACCCCTTTTAAACCCCATCTATTCACAGATGGTACCCCTTTCGCACACCTAGTTTAGAACTTTGCATCTCTGTTAACTGCTGTGTCTTTAAAATATGAATAAATTACAAAGCCAGAACAATTTCTTGACTTTTTTCACTGTCAAAAAATACATCTGTTAGCCCATTTGGGCTTCCTTACAGACCAAAATAAGAGATTTTCATGCTCTTTCATGTATCTGTTACCAGTGAAGCTGGGAAAAGGTACCCGGCTTTGGGGAGCCTTCCCACATAGGCCCTTGTAGGGAATACCTCCCCGCCCCCCACTATGCAGTTTACCAGTTGGTTTGATTCCAGATTTTCCCTTACCATAGTTTGGTCATAGCCTGGGGGTGGGGGGACAGTCCCTTACTTGACCTAGATGGGTATATGCTGCTGAAAAGGGTATAGTTTTCAGCATCTCGAATGAAAAGGGTATATTATTTCACTATTTGGCAACTTTAACAGGGTGTGATTTTGGACCAGAAGCTTTTAAAGAGTTTGAAGGCTGCTTTATACATTTGTGACACCAACATTTTTTTCCAAAAAATTAGTTAAAATGAGTTTTTGTAAATTACATAATTCTGTATGCATAACGAGACAAATCAGGATCTTAAAATAAGGTCTCTTGTCCTAAACAGGATAGCGAAATGAGTAATTTCTGTCATAAACAGTGTTAGGTTTTGAAGACTTCAATTGACGACACACCTCTACCCAGACCAGACTTCCCTTTAGTGCTTCTTCCCCCCAGGGGCCTAGCCTTCTTCTTATAGCAGGGTAGATCAGCTAGGTTTTTATTAGGTTCTCAGAGTGCAGATCTCAGGCATGTTTTAAACAGCTTAGCACATTTATTTATTGTTAACAAGACTTGTTCTGGTTAAAAAAAGGCTGATGTTTCCAACACTGGTCAGATTGGTGCTTCAGATGCAGCAGCTTTCTTAAAAAAATCTGGTTTAAAGGAAGGTGTTCTACATAAGGTGAGTAGAGCATTTTTTCCAGAATTTCACCAGCTGGTTCTCTTGCTGTTGCAGTAAAGGATGAATGTTCAACATCTAGCTAAAATTCTGAGACACACAACAGATGGAAAAGAGACTTACTTAATTGCAAGCAATGAATTGAATTAATCTGTTTGCCTACCTTTTTAATTTGCTTTTATCATAAGTGAAGATTTTGGAAGTTACTGGCAGTAAAAAGTTATAAATTTGTGTTGTTGCAATATCCCTTTTCCTCACAGATTTGGGAGCTCGCTGACCCTCAGGGAACTGGATTCTTAGACAAACAGGTAAATTAGATAGATCAGTATACAAGAAGAAAGGAACAAGCCACCTTGCCAACTAGTTATTGTTATGACATTGATTTATGTGCGTGGGAAGCTTTTTCTATTATTATTTTCAAATTTTATGGAAAAATCTGGGGATAGCTTACAAAATATGTAGAAATAACATGGAAAGAGATAAACCTCCCTCATGCAGAATGTACAGGGTGCAAAGAAAATCATTTTTACAGCTTGCCATTTGGGCAAACTGCAGCTAGCATTTACTAGCCCAAACGTCATTACAACTAGCCCCAAAAGCTTTTTGATGAGTAGAACTGATTTCACAGTTCTTCTGTTATTCAAATTGCTCAAAAAACATCACTTGCCCGTCAAAAACAGAATTCATTAGCCTGATAGCAAAATCCAATAGCCCTGGGCTATCAGACATTAAGTCTTTCTTTGCACACTGTGCCAAGCAAAGTGTCCATGCCCGGGGGGGCACTCCCATATGAAACAGACGGGGATGCTCATCCAGGGCCGTAGCCAGGAAGAAACTACAACCGAGGCGAACACACGGTCCGTTGTACGAAATCAGCCGTATGAAATCTTCTAATATTGTCAGTCTGATAAAAAAAATAAAAATCGACAGTATTTGGTAAAATTTTACCGAGGCGAGTGCCTCGGTTCGCCTCATACTGGCTACGGCGGTGTCATCGGAAATTTTGAATTTAACCCCTAAAGGAGACCATCTGGGCGTGGCTCAAGCTCTTTGTGACCCCTAAAGGAGACCAATCTGGGCGTGGCTTGAGCAAATTTTGACCCCTAAAAGAGATGGCTTAAAAACACACAAATACGACATGCAATGAGTTTTAATGATGTAAAGACATAATCATCGTGATCGTTTTGTAATTTTGTAAGCGCTAAACCCGCTGAGTTTCCTGTTATAGACAAACAATAGACAAAGCACAAAGACATCTTGTAATAAGGCTTCCTTTATTGTCACTGATTAATCGGATTATAATGTTCTCTACTGTTTGTAGAAATCTTTGATCTATAATCACTGAGGTAATGTGGTAAACAAAACAAGTTAAAAAGACAATTTGACTTCTGTTTCTCTTCGCGTAATTCTGTTTCTTGGCGGAACCCTAAATGAGACCTAATGGCGGCTCCAGGTCACAAAGGTGTATGAGCTGTAAGTAGATTTAGGGGTTTATGACCAGAAGTTTACCATCTTTATTTGAACCAAGAGAACTGTTCATAGTAAACAAGTGTTTCTATCGTGGACATGTCCATGAGGAGAGCTTTGTTGTGTAATCCTTTTTTAAAACATTTGACTGGGTAGTACCGCTTCTAAGTGCAGACTTGTCATCATTAAAAATAGTGCAGATAAACATGCAGGAACAAACCTTGCAAAATAGTTTATTATTATATCCTGTAAATGATAACCATTTTCTTTTCTCATTTACAGAGATTTTTCTTGGCTCTGAGACTGATTGCTTTGGCACAGAATGGAAAAGATGTCTCCCTGTCAAATTTAACTTTACTTGTTCCTGCACCTAAAGTGGTAAGCTAAGTGCATGATAAAATTATTCAGGATTTGTATGACACCATATTGCTGTTAAACCATTTTGCTATTAATTTTTTTATACAGTGAGCTTTCAATCTCTTCATGTTCTGGAAGCAACAAATAATACAATTTATACTTTCTTATGTACAGAGTACCACTACTTGTATTGTTCCATACATATGGTCTCTATAGGGACATAAACAGGTCTAGGACAATAATTATTCTGCTTATTCAGAGGGAATTTATTTCATACATTTCAGTAACCAAACAAAGAGTACAATGCCAGTGCCACTAAAAGTGCCTTTTATAAGTGGCTTTTTTCATACACATACAGTTGTAAAGTGAACATTGACATTCAGAAATACAGAGCCAAATGCATTGTCTTATTAGAGTTTTTTGTCAACATAAAATTATCTGTAGCCAGCGAAGATCATACTTTGTGTCAAGTGGTTGCTCACGCAAGGTTTACAAATTGATCGGTGAATTTTAAATCCATTACAAAAATTGATGAGGTGCTCCTTCACCAGAGGACTTAAAAACAAATTTGCTTTGAATTAGTGGTTGACCATATGAGCAGTGACTCCTCATGAGAAGAGCTGTCATGTACTCGGAGGCTTAATACAATCAGTGGCAAACAGTCAAAGGGCAAAGCTGTCATAACATTAGCTGTCGTGAGAGTGTCAAGGGAATTATTTGGAATTAAATAAAAACAAAACAAAACAAAACAGTAAGATTGTGTCCTACTACTGAGGTTTTTTTTTTCAATTTTTCCAGGAACTTGTGCCCCCTGCTGTCCCTCCCCCACAAGAGAGCACTCTCTGGGCTGTAAAAGCTGCTGAAAAGGCAAAGTACGACAACATTTTTGAGGTAAGCCAGTTGTCCTGAAAACTTGAATCATTATAAGTTTCTGAGAAACTGCCCACCCCTCCCCTAAGCCCCTAAAATTAGAAAAAACAGTAAAAAATACTATGCAAAGGTTCTGTCAAGATTTTTCATTTGATTATGATAACACCATAGGATTTCATCCGCCAATTATTTTACTGTAACTTGGTTTTGAGTTTAAAGGATTGATTATCTAAAGTTATTTTCATTTGGCATGTTATTTTAGGGCCTAAAACCTGTTAATGGACTTCTCCCAGGCGACAAAGTCAAACCTGTAAGTGAGAAGTTTTTAATTTATGTTATATAGTTTCACCAATAATCGTGTTTTAAGATGTAAAACATGTATCTGTCTGCTTTGAGAATAAAACACTTCATAACTCTTTGTCCTGTTTGATATATTATATGAACTTAATGATTACTGTTGTCTATGTATGTGGCAGTCAGTGGCTTGCTATGGCCCTTGATTATATTATAATTCTGTGGTTTTGTTCAACTTCAGGTGTTACTGAACTCTAAGCTTCCTATTGATGTACTTGGTCGTGTCTGGGAGCTGGCTGATATTGACAAGGATGGCATGTTAGACAATGATGAGTTTGCTGTGGTAAGGATGAAAGAGGCTACACTAACCGATATGCTAGTATATTACACCTAAAACAGTACAAATTTTACCATTAACACTGCTGGACAGAGCCAGGTTTTTCCAATTAAGGACTGTCCATCTTATAGAGTTATCTTCTGCTCAAACATCAGCTGTCCACAATAGGACGGGTTAGCCTAGTGTCACTTCGTTAATACAGATGCTAGGTGGATAGAGCCAAATCTCTGCAAGTACAGAGGTGTTTGTTGAATATTGATTGTATACAACTCACTTTGACTCTGAAGATGACTTACTGCACAGGTTGTCGAAACGTCAGTCACTGTCAACAACAACAGTCCTATACAGGACTACGTTCACCCGGGCGATCAAACTCAACCTACTTTTGAAATGACTCCTGGGTTGAAAACCTTTCACATTGATTGTATGACTTTCAGTTTTTTTTAGCGTCTTACCAAGAGATTCATTCTAAGCGCTTTGTCACATGTTCCTCTAGGCTTCTCTGGGCTAAGTAAACCGCTTGCAATAAAGAGATGCTTGTATTGTAGAGCTAAATTAGGAATTGTTTAGGATCTTTGGGACTTAGTTAGTTGTCTACAACATAGCAATGTCATTAATATTATCAATGGTGTATCCAGGGGAGGGGCCTGAAGGGCCAAAGAAAATTTTTTTAAGACCGCCCCTCCCCCCTTATCTCAGGGTCTGGGTGACCGGGCCCCCCCCTAATGTGAAGGTCTGGACCTGCCGCTGATTATGGAGTATCAGTTGTCTATAAGGAGAGTTTTTAGAGTGTTAATACACCATCTTATGGATGTACTCCTTCTGATTTGTTTGTTTGTTTGTTTATGTTTTGTAACAGGCCATGCATCTTGTTTACCGTGCCTTAGAGGGAGATCCTGTACCATTGACACTCCATGGCAAACTCATTCCTCCTTCAAAGCGAAAGTTAAAGCTGACATCATCAGCCCCCTCTTCACCATCTCCCCAGAGTCACACCCCTCCTTCAATCAGTAGTTCAGTTCTCTCTGTTACAGTGAGTTGTTAGACAATATTTTATCTCAGTCAGCTGTAAGCTGCTGCTTTTAAGCTCCCCCACGTATAAGCCTTCTCAGTTGTAGGCCAGTCTACCTCTAAGCAAAATAAAATGTTCCTGATTATTGCTAGTTTGCATGTGACGTCACGGCGGCATGTTGGTGGTCAAGAACAATTATCTCCCCTGGGAACTAAACTCTATTTTCATGTAAATTCCCCAACATGGCCGCCTTGTCACATGGTTGCAAACCAAGAATATGAGCCCCGCAGACATAAGCTGCCCTCCAAATGAATTAATTTGATTTATTATGATGCTTTGAATCTTACTTGTAATTAAAAGACAAGTAAATCCATGACGTTTTTTGATCAGCACTGCTATAGCTTGTTTTGAAGCATTTTTCTATTCTTGTTATAAGTTCCCCTGGATAGTAGCTCCTCCGTTTATAAGCCCTCTAAAACCCTTACAAAGCTAAACCCATGTAAGCAACAGTTTACGGTCTATCATTTGGTTAGCAACGATTAACAAAGTTAGCAGTGTGTGTTTTAGCGGTGTAAGCAGTCTCCTTAAAAAACATAAATAAGCTGAAGCTATAGACTGATAGCAGTCCCTCGTGCGAGCCAACGAGCGAGGCAAATGCACGAGGAAGAAGACACGTGATACGTGGCCAATTTTAGTTTATCATGTCAATTGTTCATTGTTACCTAAAGAGTTCAGACGTACCAGTCAGACTTGCTGTATACTTTGCAGACCTCTCAAGAAGTTCCGTGGGTGGTAACAAGTAGTGACAAGTCACGGTATGACACTATGTTCAAGCAGGCTGATAAGGATGCTGATGGACTTGTTTCTGGTAAAAGAAAGTGTTATATAGCTCAATTTTTTGCCAAACAGCATGCTCTCTCATTGGTTACTTTGAGGTCACATGGCATCTAAAAATAAAACTTTTTCCCGCCAAGAATCTGTGAGCGGGCAGCGTTGCAAAAATCTATGACGTCAAAGGGTCAGGGAATGTCAATGCATATTGACTGTGAAATGACCAATGCTTAAGGCTGGTTCTCATTAGTCTATGAGTAGCCTCCCACACAGACGTTAGGGAGTTTTAGCAAAGATGACGGCGACGGTCGGGATAACGTCAAAAAAGCAATAGAGCGTATTCACTCTCGTGGCCAGCATCTATGCTAATTTATGCGGACAATAGAAAGTTTTTACGTAATAAAAGAGTTCAATTCCCACAGGGTTGTCTTGGTACACCAACATGGCCGCCGTTTCATTGTTTTGGAACACCAATAAAAGTTTGCACGTGCATCACGCTTTTTTGTAGGAGGGCGTAAACAAGCGACGACGAAATTTTCGTTCTTTTTCTAACCTTGAGTGCAGTCCTCAAGATATAAACTTTAGTGAAATTTACCCACATTAGACATTTGCAACGAAATGGAATTTAAAAAAAAAACGCTAATTCATTTTAAAAGTGACGCTTTCGCTGCCGTCGTCGTCGTCGATGCTAAAACTCCTTGTTCTTTTGGCTCGTCACGCAATCATCCAAGGAGTGCGTGACGAAGCCGTAAGGAAGTCTGCAACGAAGAGCTAAAGTCGTAATCAGAGGCGTCAAACGTCATGATCCATCTCCGCTTCCGGTTACGGCTCCGCCGTTTGCGATCTTGTGAAAACTACAGGTAGTCAAAGGCCCAAGCAGAAGCGGCAGAGTAAGCCAATCAGAACTCGTAGGGGTGAGCCTTGTGATTGGTTTGTCCTTCCGCTTCTGCTTTTGCTTCCGTCTCTACCAATCTGGTTTTCACTAGGTCTTCATACCATTCATTATTTTGAGAACTTGATTTTTCCACCTCAAAGAGAAGACCGTCATTATTGTACAAAATTTTTGTTAGTTTGTTTAAAGTTACTGATGATGGGCCTTAACAAGTAAGGTAATACAGGGGACTTAAAAGACTCAGACCAATAGCCAGTTCCACATCACAACATCACAGCCAACAAACATTAGTTTCCGCAATACCAAGAAACACCCAAATATTCCTTCTTTGTTGACTTACAGGAGAGGAAGTTAAAAACATCTTTATGGCGTCCGGACTTCCGCAGCAAGTGCTTGCTCACATCTGGTAACATAGTTGTCTTCCTTGTTTGTTCTCTGCTAAACTGCAAACAATCAAACTTTACGTTAGCCCTAAAAATGCTGCAGGTGGTCATTGTGCGTCCTACCGCCACGTTCTCGCGCTTTCCACGCGAGAATCCAGGTTTTTGTCGCTTTTGCGCGTTTTGAGAAGCGATGCTGTTTGAAGCCGGCTGGCTATTTAATCAATTTTCTATTGTCAATTGCTCTGTTTGAAAACACCTTTACTTTGCCCAGACTCCCAATTCTAGTTTCATTCATAACCTGAATAGTTAGAACCACGTTTTATGCCATAGTGAGGAGTACTGTGGGAAATGCTGGTAAACAGTTTTCGCTTGATTTTGCCAGGATTAGGTCTCTACATTTATCCTGTTCAGTGTATTTGCCATTAAAAACAGAGGGCGAAACTGAAAGATGAAGGATCTAAAAAAATGTTATAACTGATCTAATCCTGTCCCTGGAACTGAAAATACGGTGGGCCATTCCCATACCTTAACCCTCTTTTCAAAACAAGGGCTAATGCATATTCTGATATGAAAATGATTTCTATCCTCATTCAAGGCAACGTCACATGAAAGATTTTGCATTTGGCATAATTTTGAAAGTGAGGGTTTTTGGAACTCGTAAAAGGCCTATTGTGACCCAAAACTACTGAAATATCTAATTAACACTTTAATCTCTGTGAGAGGTTTGAACCGAGGAGTCATTTCAGAATTACATTTGCGGTAGTCGTCTTCCGAGTGAAAGTGACTCTGAAGATGACTACCGCACAAGTTGTCGAAACGTCAGTCACTGTCAACATCAGTCCAATTCAGGACTACGCTCACACGGACGATTGTACTCCACCTAATTACTTTAATCTCTGTTTAAGGGGGCTCTGTGACGTGACAAACCAAGGACGTTTGAATTCTGAACAGTTTTCGTTGGCCATGTACCTTATTCATCAAAAAGTCATGGGAGTCGATCCACCACAGACTCTTAGTGCAGAGATGATACCGCCCTCAATGAGAAATGGAAGTGCTTCCACGCCCACGGCCACAGGGGAGGACAGGGTAGGTGTTACTGTAAGATGTTAGTGTTAATCTGGGGGAGGGGTGTAGAATGGGAAAAGAATCACCAGGTATGAGCGGGGATCGGCGGCGTGCTGCGACGACAAGTCATGAGGAAAACCTTGTCGGGTGTACTGACACTGCGGCAAGCCACGAAAATCAAGGTTCATGAATGATGCTCTTTTATTGGTCCGTTTTGATTTTGTATTTGGGACAGATCGTATCAAGGGCACACACGGTGGGTTACTTTGTCTCTGCGACTCATCGCACAAAATTAATCCAGCTTAAATTTATGTGGTATGTCACTGCAACCAAATCTTCGTCACCACATCAGGGTTCATCACGCGAGGGAACTACTATAGCCGGCCATGGGTCTCAGCAACGAATCGATGCAAAATGTCGCCGAGTGCCGTGTTCAGCGGTTAGCATTGGATTCCATCGCCCCGAAACCCCTTGGATACCTTTCGAAGTTTACATAACGTAGTATTACTCATTGCTTCCACAGTAGATATCTACAGTACAAGGGAAACCAAAGCCACAAGAATGTGTATGCTTGCTTCTTCAGGTGTCCAAGAGGTTTTAAGTGGTTTTAGGCCAGTGGGATCCATTGTTAATCGTGTTAAGTTTTACAGACGCCTTATGGTGCGTTTGCCTTGTTTACGTAATTGACCTCATCAACATAAACTCAGTGTTGTGGGTAAAAGACAAAAGGCTGATACAAGTTTAAGACTGTAACTTTGAATAAATATTAAATAGGCTTGTTGTGGTTTCCTTTTAGCAGGACGGGACAGCTGCAGGAAGCGTTGTTTCAAGCCTGAATGATTTTAGCGCCATCAAAGAGCTTGATAAAATAAGCAAAGAAATTGAAGAATTAGGGAGGCAAGTTATAAGTTTTGTTTCTGTGGTTTAGCAAATGATCAAAATTAATACTAAACTGTTCTATGTGCATGTTATTTCTTTAACAGAGAAAAAGCCAATCTACAGCGTGAAATAGAAGAAAAAGAGGACATGATTAGACAAAGAAATGGAGAAATACAGGTATGGCTCGATATTGATGTAACATTAGTGACGTAAAGCATCATTCACGGTAAACTGTACCATTGCCAATAAAGTTTTGTTGTTGTCGTTTACTGCAAAACTATCACGTGACCGTTCTTCATTTTTTAAGGTTGCTGCAAACTTTTCCTTTTTAACACATCTTGCCAAAAATGGAGATTCTTAGTGTATCCATGTACTCACCAAGTAGTCTCCATTGAACTCCCGTACACAGTAGAACCATCTTGTGGACATTTTGCACACACGTCGATGTTACAACACGCTCTTATGTGCCTTCTAGCATAGAGAGACATAATGGGGCCATTTATACGAGGAAAAATAAGACGCGAACTGTACCATTTATACGAGCATGTCTTATCTAAGACGAGAACAGCTCGTATAAATGGTTCGCGTCTTATTTCTGTTCTTGACTCGTTTTTATGTGAATGTTGCCCGTAGGAACGGCAGTCCAACATGGCGCGTCAAAAATTAACACATGCGTACTATGCGTTCGCGTCTTATCTAAGACGCGAACGTCATTTATACGAAGTTTTTCTCGTCTTAGCAAAGACGCGTCTTATCTAAGAACAGGTGTTAAGGGCTGTTCCAAAATAAGACGCGTCTTAGCCAAGTCGCGTCTTATTTTAGACGAAATGTGCCGTTTGTACGGAAAGTTTGCGTCTTATTTAAGACGCTTCCTATGTAAGACGCGTCTATTTTTCCTCGCATAAATGGCCCTAATGACGATGATGACGATGACAATGACATTGATGATTATGGTAAAAATGAGGGGGGAGGAGGAGGAGGGGGAAGACAATGACAACGACAATCATCATCATCATCATCATCATCATACAAAATTGTACTTGTTTGAGTGTCAATGTAGTTAGCGCGAAAGTGTTAAGTGAGGACACTATTTTTACGCCTCGTTCTAGAGACAGGATCGCCATTTTACGAAGTCATCCTAGCCACGCGAAAGTCTAGCCGGTTGCAGGGCAAAGGCGGTACCTTCATTTCTCAGTTATTTTTGAGACACTGAGTATTGGTCCCGCCTCGGGAATCAAACCCGCGACCCTCCGCTCAGCGGTCAAGCAATCTACCAACTGAGCTAATCCTGCCGCGGTAAAGAGACCTTATCGTCATCAGCAGCATCATGATAGACGTTAAAACCATATAAACTTAATTTTTAACTGTCTAAGGACTTAGCTTGGAAAGGAAACAAAGGAAAGACAAGGTTGTACCAAGAGAGAATGGTGCATGGATAAGCAGAAAACTTACATTATCTGTTGTTTATTTGGGCACAGAATCTACAAACTGAGCTGGAGAAAACCAAAGTAAAGTACCAAGAATTAGAGAAACAGAAGGCTGACGCTCAAAGCAAACTCGATGAGTTGGATAAGGAGGTTAGAATGAAAGATGTTTTTTTTTCTGCTGATGTGTTGTGTCGTGACGGACATTTGAAGCTCGCTCACCTGGCATGGGACAATCCTCGCTTTTGGCGCCATGCGCATTTCTAGTGATTAAGACAGAGTGCAAAACGATTTCAATTATTTGCAGTCAAAAACGTATAATTGTAGTATAAACGGTGCTGGAGAGTAATGGCTGTTGTACTTTTATTCCCAGAAAGCCAAATATGAAGAGATGCTGAAGGATGCCAAACAAAAATGTGACGAAGAAACAAAAACTGTGAGTATTTTGCTTTTACACACGCCTTCCCTTTACCTTTTTGTTTTTGTTGTTGTTGTTTTTTTGCACAAAAATCATCATAGGACAGAAAAAAAAAAACAAATGTCAGGAATGGATAGTGTTTCGGGCGTGAGTCTGACTGACTTTTCAAGGTCGGGGTTGTTTCATGGCATTCACGGTCGCCAAAATGATTCACCTGTGTGTTACGCGCCATTCGTTTTCACGCGCGCCCTTCCTGTTTTCTCGCGTCTGATTTTCTCCTCCCCTCTCTCGCCTTCGAACCTCTTCCACGCAACTAGGTAGTTAATAACAACTAAACAGCTAGAATCTTATTGCTAAGAGGGCTGTCAGAAGAAAAATGTTCTATTTCCAACCAAAATTCAATAAAGTGAATTTGTGCTGTTTTTCTTGTTAGATAAACAGCTTACAAGCGCAAATTGCCTCTTCAAGACATTCGGCCCTGGTAAGTAGAATCGTCCCCACTCCCTAGGGGGAAAAATGTTTGTAACGATCGAAAATTATTTTTTCGTAAAAATTTTCCCTTTGTTTCCTATTTTCCAGCACCAAGAGGAAGAATTAAGTCAAGCAAGAGACGAATTAAACAAGCTGAGAGAGGATGAAACGAGGCTTGAACGAGAAGTAAGTAATAATGACCTTATAAAATGGGAGAAAATGCTCTGTTTTCTTTTCCTTTCTTTCCTTTTTCTTCTTTTTATTCTCGTCACTTTGCCAGAAGGTGCTATCTTCTTCTCTCTTCTACAAATTCGTTTATAAACTATTATTTCTTAAAAGGAAATGTCTGACTCAGTAACTTTAATCGAAATCGTATGCCTTGCTATTTTTTATCAGATCGAATCAAGTAAAGAACATTTGGAGGCTGTACAAAAACAAATCAAATCTGTTCAGACAGAGTTATCACAGGTAACGATCACAACAGGGCCATTTTAGGTGTAGTCTCCCTCGCAGCCGTTTTTGTATGTCACGCAACGCTCTTGGGGGAGCGTTGCGTGACATCCAAAAAACGGCTGCGAGAGAGACTATTTTAGGTGGGACCTCTCAGGTTGAGGTAGAGTTACTGCAGGCTCCTTTGCAGCCGCCCTAGCTGGAGTCACGCATTCTCCCCAGAGCTTTGCGTGACGCACTCGCGAGCGGTCGCGAAGGAGGCCAGAGATACCCTGCTTATCAACAAAATCATTACTTCAAGTAGATCAGTACTTGGTTCAGGAACAATTCGTTTCACTCCAGTTATTGACTCGTTCAGTTACTGGCAGAACTCACAACTTTTGTTGAAAGGCTAACTATCATGTAGGAGTTACAGGCACTAGTATTTGGAAAGAGATTATCTTGCATTTGCATAACGCAGATGTAAGATTACAAAAAAAAAGGAAACTATAATAATGGTGTTTGTCAGCAGTTTGTAAATCGAACTTTAAGAAATAATTCAAAGGATTTGTTTTAAGTGGTTTTGTTATGACTTTGTTTTTAGCATTGTTTTGAGGGAACATTTTCTGGAGACAAAATGCTTTTCTTTGCTTCTGTAGTGTTTGTCTCTGTTATTTGTATAGGTAATAGCATGATTTGTAGTGACAAATACCACGAGTGATATTTCGAAATTGTTACACATAATTTCACGAGCCGTTATGCGAGTGAAATTTGGGACAATTTTGAAATATCACGAGTGGTATTTATGCCAAATGTCATATACAAACCATGCTATTATTTGTTTATACTACTACCAGCAAAAGGTTTGTAATTTTCACATGTAGGTATTTCAAATTAACCTGAAATACCACTGCTCTAAGCCAATCAAATTGCAGAAATTTCTCATGTAGTAGTATAATAATCCATATAATCACACTCATTTCGCGACAGTCCTGAATACAAACGTTTCTCTCCATGAAGTCACTCTCGCCTGATTGTAAATTTCTGTTCCTTATCTATTGTTGATAATATTAATTCGTTTTGTAGGTTAGATCAAAGGTGTCAACGCTGGAAGAAACGAACAATAGTCTAAACGCCAATATTGCGCATTACAACTCTCTGATGAACTCAAATAGCGTAGCCAGTGGCCCCGCCCCTATTCCTGATTTTACACCACTTCATGATGCCTTTGATATGACACCGACTCCTTCTGAAGCGGACGCTATGAGCGTTAGAGCAACGGTAAGCAACGAGAATGAACTACAGTTTCGTTCAACGCATGTACAAAAGGGCAGCAGCATTTCATTTCGATAGACTGCGCTGAGTAATAAAGAAAACAAAGCTTTCTGAAAGGAAAAAATGAAACCTCTTCTATTAGCGGAATAATGCCAGTGGGGGATGCAGACCTTTAGATAAGGGGGAGGGGGAGGGGCGGTCATCCAGACCCTGACGTAAGGCGGAGGGGGGGGGGCGGTCCTCGGGCCTCAGATTGGTCTAAAAATAAGGGGGAGGCCCGGGCCCTCCGGGCCCCTCCCCTGGATCGGCCACTGAATAAGATTAAGTATTTGCGTTAGATCCGTTTTTGCTCTGATTGGTTAATTTAAACTGTGTCTAACTAAACAGCCATTAAAAAAGCTAGCCATTCTAAACCATAAAAAAGGTGGTGTCGTAAGTTTTTCTTTGTTTAATTTTCTATAGGCAGGAAGCAGTCCCGTTAGTAGTATTAGTGGTTTTAGTGTTGGATCTGGTCGAGTTGATGAAGCTGTGGACGATTTTAAGGTATATATTAGTTCTACAGTGCTGTTTTGAATTCTTTCTCCTGATTAGCTAACACTTAAAGAGCAAATGAAACAAAGTTAAATCTTTTCTCTTTTAGGATTCAGATCCCTTCAAGAGTAAAGAAAATTTATTTAGTTCCTCAGAAGCAGGTAAGCTCCAATGTGCACCATGGTTTTCAATGATTGACGGGTTTTTTTTTTTCTAAACCATTGTAATGTCTTAGAGTCCTATCCAGTTTTCCTTGAAAATCGTTTCTCCCGAGAGTCTCAATAATATCAGTGTTCATCAACCAGTGTTTTCTCACTAAAAGCATCCCTAATATGGAAAGTGCTTAGCTGGATTGACTTATCAGATTGCTGAAAAGGGGATGACGTCAAAGAGGACAGAACCCAAGCGTGTCGCTTCGCGCGTTTGCTTCTGTTCGCTGAGCTATGAAAATTGTCTGTTCACTTGTTTTGATAAACTAGTTAAACGGCTCGCGGTCATTCACAAAGTCGTGTTTGTCTCGAAATCGACATCTGCAAATCATAAGCCAATATTCTCAAACGCTAACATGAGAGCTCCCTCGTTCGCATAGAACTGTTTTGGTCACTTCTATCATTAGAAATCGCTCTTTGACAAGGCATGCAAGTTCTGACGGTATATTCATTTGTTACGAAAGTAAAAGCGAATAAACATGAACTCTCTCTTTTTCAGAATCTAACGACCCCTTTCACGTGGACGATCCCTTCAAGACAGACCCATTTCATTATAAAAGCGTCTCCTTCGCAGATCCGTTCACAGCGGATCCTTTTGAGGTGAGAAACTGAAAACGGCTGGTTTCAATAGTGTTAATCCAAAACATTTTCCCAACTAAACACCTTACTCCAAAACGATTGCAATAAAACCATTTTTTTTTTCTTATGTTAATGAGTAAAATCCAACTAGTGGTCTATTATCAATGCTGCGTTCTGATTGTTTGAGCTACTGCTGGGCTATATGTTTAGTATAGCCCACTAGCAGCGAAAAGCGCCGGCTTTGGAAACGCGTTTTGCTAGATAAAGTTTTTGTCTCGATATTTTTGACCAACTAGTTGGATTTTACTAAAACAATTATCCCTCTCGCCCTCATGGCCTCTGAGTCAATAGCCCGTTAGGTCTTCGGCCTCATGGGCTATTGACTCAGAGCGCATTCGGGCTCGAGGAATAATTGTTTATTAGCCCTCATTGCCTTACTTGCATCTGCAAAATTCATAAGAGCTTTTACCGTGAAACGATGCATTTAGGGCCAATTATCATGATGACAAAAGAATAACATAATTTGACGCCATTTTGTAACAAGGTGCATACATAAGACTGAAACAGTTTGCATTCGTTTGACCGCTAGACGTGCAAAAACCTTAATTCTTTTCTAGAGTATGTACGCTAGCTCTTCGAACCTCAATGCAACGGTATGGTTTGCTTCTACACTTTTGTTGTGGAGGTCATGTCTGGAATGTTATCCCAAATTCTAGTAGTCTTCATTGTTTTCATTATAGGACGTAAGAAGTGTACATATTAAGTTTTCCTGTTTGTCTGTCAGGGTGAAGATTTGTTCAAAAGTGACCCCTTTAAAAGCGACTTACCAGCAAGTGGCGAGGCTAACGGCACTGCAACAGGAATATCGAACGGTAAGTCTCGAGTTTCAGACGAGGTTAATCTTGGCTGCTTTACTTTTGCCTTGATATGCTTTTTAATCATCCTGCTTGCGCACTTTTCCTTTTTCCACACACAGTTGACTTATGATTGGCTGAAAAATCACGCGCTACTTTATAGACCAATCAGAAGTTAAACCAAAACTACATGTGACATCATCACTCATGCGCACGTGCCTCCCGGGCTTAGCGCCTGCTTATTGTATCTGTCGCGAGTTTTGATTGGTTTATTTGATTGTTTGCTCGTTTTGTGATTGGCCAGAAGAAATTGCTTTCGTTTTGTTTTCACTACGCTCTTTCGTAAAGGGCTTTGAGAAAATCAGTTTGTGATGTGTACTTTTTTTTTTCTTAACTATAGGATTATCTGCTTCACCTTCGAAATCAGATCCTTTTGCTATGGATCCATTTCAAAGTACATTCCCGAGTAGCAAGGTAAGTGCGATGATCATTCTTCACTTTCATCTAAATCGGAAATTTACTGCGATGATCATTCTTCACTTTCAAAGTTCATTTGGCAGAGCAGCGCTCTCCGTTTTTCTATTTGATTTCACATTTACAGTCGACGTAATAGGGCTATTTATACGAGGAAAAATAAGACGCGTCTTTCATGAGACGAGTCCTAAATAAGACGCAAACTATCTCGTATAAACGGCACATTAAGCCGCGACTTAGCATAGACGCGTCTTATCGAAGAACAGGTAGGGGCTGTTCTTAGATAAGACGCGTCTTTGCTAAATTTCACACGAAATGTCCCCTTTATACGGGATAGTTTGAGTCTTATTTAGGACAGTCACGTCCTATGTAAGACGCGTCTTATTTTTCCTCGTTTAAACGGCCCCAATGTGATTTTCTTCACACTTAACCGTTAAGAAGGCCAGGATTTATTAAATCTCGAAGGCGTTCTTGATATCAAAAAAAGGCTTTCTGATGAAATTTCAATGCGGTGAATTTGTTACAACCTTTTTAAGGATTTTTAACCTGTTTACGTCTCTTACAGAGTTCGACAGATAACTTCTTTAGCTCAGATCCCTTCAAACCATCTGGAAGTAGTTCAGATTCTAAGAAAACCACAGATAGCAAAGACTTGAGCTCTTCTGCGAAGGACCCTTTCAGCAATCCTTTTGGTTCTGATCCGTTTGGTGAGTTCACGACAATTTTTTTTTACATTGTTGCCATTCAAAGCTACAGTGGAACCTAAGCTGACGAACATCTCCAGTAAGCGGACACTTCCCAGTGACCCAGTGACCTGCCTCCTCCACAGTTCCCAAGGCTTAGTGGGGAACACGGAACAAGCGAGAAGCGCTAGAGACGGGTGATGGGAATGAGCGCAGAGAGCGAGCTGGAAGCAACTATTTCTGATCTCAACGGTACCCGCTTACAGGAGGTTAACGGCTGCGGTTTACATGGAGGGAGGAAGGTTCTAGCACCAGGAGGATCCTAGAAGGCGGAACAACTTTACGTTGGGTTTACGTGCGGAAATTTCGGTCCGTGTAATGCCCCAGAAGAGAAGGTTGGAGAAAGAATTAAAATTGGCGGGCGACAAAAACAAAAATGCAATTTGGGCCCTTCTGCTCTCTTTACTGGCGTTAATAACTACCTTTCAGAAGAATTATCACAATTATCAGCTCGTGCCAACGCCAAACGAAATGGCCGGCCGTTTTTAGCCAATAAACGACCCGCCACCATGTTTGTCTTGTTTCTCCCAAGTACTAAGATCTTTCTAGCGAAGACAGTTTATATGGTGCTAGGATCTTCCTAGTACTAGCGACAAGTAAAACCCTTTGCATGTGAACCGAATACAGAAAACATATTGCGCTAGGACAGTAGCCCAGTGATCCTCCTTCTAGGATCTTCATTCCTCCAAGTAAACAGCCAATAAGACACTATTTGTGCAGTACCCAGTGGTTCCGTGTGTGAAATTGTAGGGAGAATTTTGTAATGAAGAGTTGTTGTTGATGATGATTTTAATGCCTTCTACTCTACTGATCGCCCGCATTTTCTCTTTGTAGCGTCTTGATGAAATACGATGAATTCAAGAAGTACAAGGAAGATTTGATAGAAGATTATGGCTCATATCGGTTACACTCCGTCGCAGTATTTCATCAAACACGCCCAAATAGAAAAAAAGAAGTTATTAACTCAATCGGAGAGTAAAGCTTTTGGTCTCGAAATTCGAACCCGAAAGGTTTGAGGTCTGAATTCCGCGCTTTTCGTTTAATTGGTTGCTAGGTAACCTGAGCTAAGCTTACGACTTAGAGAGAAAGCTTACAGTTTATGATATCCTCGCCAAGGATCGTGCGATTGTGTGACTGGTTTTTCTGACAACCATGCACTGATTCCGTCGATTGTGGAACAAGGAGATTGCAATCGCTAAATGTAAAATACAAAATTAGTCAAGATATGTCATTTATTAAGGGTGGCAAAATAAATTTTAATTAAGTTCTTGACGCCATGTTACTACAGACTTAGTGAGTTTGTTTATTTTCTTCATCATTTGGATGCACCAGCCACAAGCAACCGCGGCTTGTGTAATGCGTATCATCCGCGCTTGGCGGACACTGCTGATTTTCCCGCCGGTAAATGGATCGATTTAGACTTGGTACAAGTCGACCGGATCGACTGTGTTAAATGTTGTTTACCCGCGCCAGAGCCTGGTTCATTCCGCGCATGTCTCTTTACGGAGAATCGTTCGCTCATTTTCAACAACGTTGTTCGCGCCGACCTTAAACGAATTTTTCTTCGTTCCGTAGCTAAGACATTTAGGGCCAGTGAAGGCAGTCAAGGTTGCTTGCTTTTGCATCGAACTCCGCCGTTAATTGAACTTGTAATACTTCTGCTGTTATATAATGCTAAGATAGTAAAAGTACAATTTTTTAAAACTGCTTGATATAGACTTAGACTGTTCAGTTTGAGGTAGTCAGGAAAAAGACCTCGTTAAAACTCCCTTTAGAATTAATTTCAAACAAAATGGTTTCTTTATAAAGTTTTGCGCTCGACTTCCAGGTAGATTTGTTCGCGTTCTTTGTTCAATCTTTTCATTGTTTTTCTCCTAAATACCGCCGCTGTCTTGGAGTGGTTTTATTTTATGTACAGACATTGAAATTTTGTTGCCTACGGTTTTAGCTGTCACAAAGAAGGGCAATGCGATACTTAAACAATTGTTGCTAAGAATTTATGAAAACTATCCTCAAGTATCTGGCCATGGTGCGTAGTCTAAAATATTTATCGCCAGAATATAATTTTATCTTGCTCAACAACAAAAGGATCAACTCGAGTGTGTATGAAAGAAATTTTATTCAACATTATCTCGAAGAAGACATCTTAAAACAGAAAAATGAAATGCAAAGAACGCTTTCTGATTGATTAGCGTCGCATTGGGTTTGAAACAAAGGCTTTGAAAATTGTCCAAACAATGAAAAGTCGTGAAAATGCGCGATATATGACACGTGCGTGCTTGCATTTTTTAGTTCAACTCTTTCCAGATGGCTTGTGAAACTCTTGAGAGAATTGTCAAGCTATTTGTTCAGTATTCTGCAATTCTGTCTTTTAACATAAACTTCAAACTTGAATCAGCAAGTCAATAATTTCTCGTAGATGTAACAGTTAGCAATCTCATAATCGATGAACCTGTCGGCAGCAAGTCTCTTCCTCGGGGAAAAAATCGTTCTTTAAATCATCCGGCTCGCATTTATCTGCTGCTTGAGTGCAGTCCATTCCATAAGTCCTGGATCACTCTTGAGTCTAGTTTTTCATGCTTGTACCCCTCGGATTCGTCGGGCCAACTGGATGCTGCTCGTAATTTCTGCGTTCGGATTGCGCCCGTGAAGCGAAAACTGCAATGACCTCATTTCTGAGCGAGCGGTTTCGTCTCCAATCCTGTAATGCGTCTTCTTCTTGTCCCCGTTTAAACAGCCATTGTTTATCGGTGCAGTTTTGCTTTCTATTTCGTCTTTCATGTTTAAACGAACCATGTTTCTTGCAGCGTTTAGCTCCACGCGACAGTTGATGAAAGTGTTTTGTTTGTGGCTTTAAGTGACGCTTTAGCTCTCCTTTACTGTAAAAAAGGGAAACATCTGATTGGTTCGTCGATTGCGAGAAGCGAAATTTGATTGGTCAGAAAAAATAACAAACGATGGAATTGGCTAAAAGCGAATCACAAACTATGTCGTTGGTCACGAACCGAAACAATCATTGTCGTTATCAGTATCTTTTCACTAAAACCCTTTACAAATTGAAAATATTCTTAAAGTGAGTTTTACAAAATTTAAAACTATCAGTCGCATCATGTCCCCCGCAACGTTAGTAACTTATCTTTCTCTTTCTAATTCCTCACCTTAAAAGCTAATCCCACGCGGCAGTCAATGAGCATTCAGAAGTCAGCCAAGCGTGGTCATTGCACGCGTGCTGAACAAAAATGCTGTATAATGACAGACTAGAAACAATAGCCAACTCTCAAAGCACAAACTCAGCCAAAACGCTAAAAATCTTCAATGTTTACTCAAGTTTGGGCTTATAGAAGGTAATGTCACAGTTTTTCAATGACCATGACATTCAGAGTCCGGGTAGTTAGTTAATCAATTGTGGCCCTGAAAAATTTGAAGGAAAAAAAACTACGAAATTTTAAGAAAATGCTTTTTTCGTGAGAAGGACTCCTAAACGCTGACAAACGTCGACAAATAGCGAAAACTATAATTTCTATATGTTTGCTTTGCTCGAAATCGCGCGCATTTACAAGGCCCTAAAGCGTTTTGCAAGGACCCACCTGTTATAAGGATGCCCAAAATAAAGAGATGAATCTCACACTTTATTAGATATAATCCGTGTAAAGTTTGCTTATCATTTTCGCATAAATTATGACCTAAATTTGGAAACTGCTGAATTTCTCGAATTGGGTCTTTGCGATTTTGGTGAAACTCAGTTCAGCGCAAGGCACTAATGCGCACTATGTGTAGCCGAGAGATTTTCACGAAAAAATGCCGGCAACAGCAGATTTTCGACTCAGACCTCAAAGGGGCGTGGCATTATAACCACGTGACATTTACTCCGATCGGTAAAAATTTTATGTAATATTGTAGATTGATCTATATGTTATCCATTCTATGTGTTAGACTTACGATAAAAGTAAAGGTGGGGATACCAGAGAGTGTCAAAGTAGGATGGTAACCCCGCAAAAAAACTGGGTCGAGTCACCTTAATGTCAAAAAAGGACTGACGTATCGTAAAAACTTATGTAACAAAACAAAAAAGCCTCGTTTATTATCGCAAATTTTCTCAAGAAACTGTAACTTCATCCACTGGATTGAACTAAAAAATCTGTTTCATAGGCAAAGGCAGCCTGTAGTGTAACTATAAAGATATACTGCCCTTAATATCTTGCTGTTTATATATAACTTCGTGTTCACAACATTCTGTATGGACCGACCGACATACTCTTTTGGAAAATGATAAATAAGAAACATTTCTTTTTTTGGCGCAACATTAAAGAAACCCCATAGGCAAAAGTATTTAATTTACTACGATTGTTTCTAATGAACATTAATACTTTCCGAAATACTTCCTTCAATTACTAAATTACTACTGTATTTTGAAAACTTTTGTGTAGATTCCATCTGTTTATAACTCGCGTTTCACGATGTAGGGACTGTAGTAGCAAACCCGATCGAGACGTAGTTAATTTGTAAGTGTTTCTCCTACTTCTTGAGCGCTCTAGCCGCTTTCTAAGTTAATGAATATCTATGAAGACTACAATAGGGCGAAGAAAGTGAATCGCCAGCTGGCTATAACATTAATATCGCATCAGACCGTCGCATGTTTCAGTCAGGGACCTTATCAAGTTTGGGGCTGTTATACTACATACATGTATACTGTTAAGACTTCCATTATATTTAGGGCTAAACCTATTACACATATAATTAGACCCTTTATTACATTTAGGGCCAAAAATTATTACACTTGGGACCTTTATTACAGTTAGGGTCATTTATTACATTTGAGGCCTCAACAAAGTTCATTACTGAAACTTACCAATATATTCATTTAATAGATCAATCAACGAGAATTACTTCTAGCACTAGATCATTAATAGCGGAGCTCTGGCGCGCGAAGCGCGCCTGCGGAGCACCATGGGTAAGTAAATCTACCCATCCCAGAAAATTTGGTAATCACGTGACCGTACACCGCCCGCCCGCTGCCCGTCCGTCCGCACCACAGGGCAACCAATGTTCAGTCCCACACTTTCTAGCTAGTTTGGGAGCACAGGAAGACTGATATTGTACACATATTGCACATCAATGTTGTGATCAAAGGACAGCTGTCAAAACAGGGTATCCGCTGACCAGTATCACCTGACCGTATCGCAGGCCCGGGTGTCGACCCATCGAGGTCGAGTATTTTTGCAGTTATCCGCTGACAAGTTACTAGTTTTCAAATGATTGCAGGCTCAAGTTTAATTTTTTAATTCATATGAAATATGTTGTGTTTTATATGTGCCGCACAATTAACATTTTGATTTCAAACTGACCTCAGAAGCTAAGATTCAGCCAGTTTTTACAGGCAGGGAAGACATGCCAGTCGTTTTGACTTTTCTCCCCAAGGTCACGCGTTGGTCACGCTCTACGTCCAATTTTTATGCTCTGATTGGTCAAAATTTGACAGGTGAGTTCATGCGGAAAATTTATGCAGCAACTTGAAACTTGTTTACTTTGACAGCTGAAGCTGACAGAGTTTTGTGTCAACTTGTGATGTTTTTAACTGTCTTTTTCCACTGAACATTGTACAAAATCAAATTCAGCTGCTATCAAGAGTCTTCTGTTATTCAAGGCTAGTTTGTTTATCGGGTTTTTGCTTGAGAAATACGTCGCTTGTCAAAGTCGCAAATCCGATTTCGGATGGCATCATTTTCGTTTTTCACCTTGCTTGATGCGTAAGAGGGTTGAAAAGTCTGAAGTGATTTTGGCCTTACTTCATAGCTCCCAGGAACTGCATCTCGAATGGTAAGCCTGAGTAATTATTGTATTTGATGTTTGTCTTTAATATCTTATTTAATGAAGTCGAGCGTAGTTTATGCGGCTATTTAGTTTGTGCACGTTTGTAAGATTTGAGACAAATGATCTGACCTAGTATCAGGTTTGATATAAGCTTACAGAACTTTTAAAAGCCTTTATACATTTTCTCACCTCAAATAGAAAGACAACGTTCCAAAGAAAATTTTGTTATAATTCTGGCTGTAAACGAAAGCTTGAGCGATTTTCTTGCCTCGAGTTCATCTTTGAAAAAAGCAAACACCGGCTTAAAACATAAACTTTAAGTTTTAAGTTTGAAGACTCAGGATTTTTAGAGACACTTTAATACTATTGTCTTCGTGAATGAAAATTATTGTCTCTGTACATGTTTCACCGAATTATATTTCTTTTATGGATTGTCAGTAGTCTCTCTTGCAATTTTTAATCGCTGTGCCGTTTGTTTTCAGTCGTTCATGAACATCGCTTGCAGGAGTACTCAAAACGCCGCGCGTATCAAACGCTTTGGAAGATTGCACATCGTTATAAAACCACTAAACAAAAAGTAAACATGATAAATTCTTTATTATGTTGAATGGTAACTCTATTAATGTTCATTCAAACACTCCACAGCTCGCAACCGGCTGGCCGTATAGGTGATTTTGAATTGAAATTTTTTTAAGCGGTTTCGCTAAAAGCCCTCGTGTGCTTCGATCGTCCTGAATATTGAATGAATGCAATTTGTGTTTCAAAATTGTGAAATAGTGCTGTCCGAGGGCTATATGATAAAAACAGTGCCTCATAGTACTGTTTCACCTCAGATGTGATGTATAAAAAGTATAATAGGTTAGTTTACACGCCCCCAGATTTGTTAGCCCCGGATTTTGTAAAGCAAACTTGTCGAACGCAAAAAAATTCGGCCTGATTTGTTATCCAAGGATTTGGTTTCCAGGCCTAATCTACTATGATCAAGAGCCATTGCGGCTCTTAAATGTGATCGAAGATGATTGCTATTTTTTGGGTGTACATATAAGGCTATCAACTCGATTTAAGATTTGGTTCACTCTTGGGCTGTTTGCAAATTATTTTCCTCTAAAATCACTTAACCTTTCCCTCAAAAGTATATAAATGTGCTCTAAAGTTTACTGATTTGTGGAATACAAGTTTATTGTTTTATTTAAATTACAAATATATTAACGAGAGCTTCGCTTTTAGCCCTGGCTAAATCTATATATTAGATCACATATTTACTAATAACCCAGATATAATAACTAACCATGGGGTCTTGCATGTTGGCATTTCTGACCACAGTCTTATCTATGCTACTCATAAACATACACTGAAAGCTGATCCACAAATAATAGAATCTAGACAATTCAAGAATTTTGACTGTGATGCCTTCATTGAATACATTAAAGAGACACCTTTCCACTTTGCTTCTCTTATGGATGACCCAAACGAGATGTGGAATGTCTGGAAACCTTCATTTCTGAAAGTTGTAAATAAACATGCCCCTATGAGGAAAAGAAAAGTGAAAAGTAAATCTTCACCGTGGATAACAGATGAACTGAAGCGGAAAATGAGAAAGCGCGACTTTCTAAAAAATCAAGCAGTTAAGCAGAATTCTCATCAAGCGTGGAACGATTATAAAAAGGCAAGAAATGAAGTAAATGTTACTATTAGGGAAACCAGGGCTAATTTCTTTATTCATAGCATTAATAAGCGTTGTGGTAATGTTACTGTTAGAGTATTTTCAAGCAGGTAATCTTCTGACTGAGTCTCAATCTGGCTTTAGACCTAATCATTCAACCTCTACAGCTTTGATAAGTGCAGTAAACCTTTGGCTTGCCAACATGGATGCTGGTAAACTTAATGGTACTATATTTATCGACTTAAAGAAAGCCTTCGACACCGTTGACCATAACATCTTACTACGTAAGCTGTGTTGGTATGGTGTCAATGGAAACGCTCTTCAGCTGCTTAACTCATATTTGACAGTTATGTAAATGGCGTCTTATCCACAGAACAATATGTATCATGTGGCATTCCCCAGGGCTCTATACTTGGATCGCTATTGTTCATAATTTATAAAAACGATTTTCCCAAATGTCTACGGCATACAACGCCTGGTATGTTTGCCGATGATACATATATAACTACAGCTCATGAAGATATATTCACAATTGAATGTTCTTTAAATAGTGACTTAAATTACAGTGCATAATTAACTTAAGACAAACAAATTGAGTTGCAATACTTCTAAAAGTAGTTATATGACAATTGGCTCTCGGCAAAATTTGGCAAATGCTAAGTTCATGAATCTAGAGTTGGATAATAGACCTATTGAACATAAACCCTCTACTACGTTACTGGGGGTTCATATTGATGAAATGCTAACTTGGGATAATTAGATCAAACAAATTTTATCTTAAGTCTCTAATGGCTTGCGAATGCTGTATTTAGCTAGAAAACTAACCGATAATCAAGAGACTCTCAAAACTATTTACTATTCACTTGTGCAGCCCCACTTTCATTATTGTGATGTCAGTATGGGATGACTGCTCCAAAACACGAGCTGACAAATTGCAAAAGTTGCAAAATACAGCAGCACGGATTATTACTCGGGCTGACTACTCTATCAGATCATCAGATGTACTAAATTCTTTAGAGTGGTCAAACTTAGAAGAAGAAAAAGGCACTTATTAGTTACGATGTTTAAAGTATTCAAAAATAATTGTCCGACGTACCTTCGGGAGCGGTTTCATAGAACCTCTGAAATTCATGACCATAATTTGAGGGGTTCGAACTAGGATCTCCAACTACCACTACCTAAAACAAATTTTCTTAAGCGTTCATTTTCTTATCGGGGTGCAATGGCTTGGAACCCACTGTCAAATAAAACATGTTAGATGGGGGATCTTACTAGCTTTAACTTTTTATTATGTGTTATCTTATTTCGTGAATACTCATTTCTTGCTGTTATATTGTATTTCAATTTATTACTATTTTTTTTACCACTATTAGTCTTGATTACTATATAAACTAGATAGTTACGTTTTTGACAGTCGACAGGAACAGATAAAATTGTCAATTCTTGTGCTGTGTCTGATAACCAGCTTGATGAGCCATTTACCGTGTTTAAATAAAGTTGATTGATTGATTGATTTACAATTCACAATGTCATGTTTTCGACATTAACAAACATGCGAAAAACTTGAATTGTGTTACAGGTTCAAAACGCAAGGCGGTGACCAAAGATCAAACTTTAACACTTACTTCTCACTTAGGGCAAAATGTTAGCTTAGGGGAGGGGTAGGTGGGCATGCAGTCTCCGATCCAAGATTTTTAACTTGATGAAACAGGGACTGCGTGCTTGATTTTTGAACGGCTTAAAAAATTTCCCTGTAGTGAGCTAAGGGACCGGTCATTATTGATCGCCTGGGGATCGCCTGTTCGGCAGGTACAAAACGCAGGTCACAGGTAGGTGCAGGTTTAGAGAACAAGGGGGGGGGGCGAAGGATTTGGAGCTAAACAAGGTAAAATTTAGCCGGTCCCCCCTTTGAATGTTACTTCACTGAAGCAATCCGCCTAATGACTTTTGATGACTTTCCCGATTCCCCCATGTCTTCATATTCCAAGCAAATTTGAGTGGTCCCCCCTCTGAATCCTTCCAAAGTTTTCAGCGAACCCCCCTTTTGGGTTCTCAGTTACGACTGATCCCCGCTTTTGTTCTCCCAAAAATCAATTGATCCCCCCTAAAATCCTCCCCCTCGCCAAAGGCGATAAATAATGACCGGTCCGTAAGAGCCAAAGAGAAATTTCATTGGCTGACGTTTTCAACAGCAAAAAGGCTTTTAGTTGAAATCGGATTGAAAACTGCCAGTTCTTAGAAATTGACATTTTTTTGCTTTCATTAGGGCCTGCCTTATTTTATTCAGTCGCCTATGAACTAAAACACAACTTTTCAAGAACTAATAAAAAAATAATTGCTTCCTGCTTGACACCATTTCTATGGACTGCTCTGGTGTGGAAGTCTCGACATAACGCAAATGCTGTGGATAAGTAAAAAACAATGTCAATAACTTTAACGATAAAATACAACTTAAAGAAAACCAGCGTCATCAGCAAAAATGAAGTGATAGTGAATGCTAAGTTTTCTCGATACGCCTGCCCAAAGCTCTTATCCAGCTACACATTACGGCCGCAGGTGGCGCTGGCCAAAAGGATCGTTGAGTGCGAAGCAGGCAGTTTATTGGTGTATTCTGAGTTTATAGTTCGTAAAGAAAGAGACAATGCCGCGCGAAAGTTATACAGAGGTAAACCGAGAAAACCGACTGGGAGTTTTTCTCTCGCCCCCTTCCCCATCGTTTTCTCGTTTGAATGGTTACTTAATGAAAAACGAACGAAAAACACACCAAAAAATCCGTCTACCTGACGGAGGCTTAAAGGATCGTGCTTATGGGGGTGATAATGACTCCAGCATTAGTTCCGCCCCCGGGGTTCCCAGGGCTCAAACAAAAAATAGCAACCATTTTTCAAGGACTTTTCAGTGACCACATTAGATTTTCAAGGACCACCTACTACCAATGTAATTTCACAGATTCTACAAAAATGCACATTCTCAGTCTATTCTAATAAGGCTTTAAGGCTGGAACTGTTTGTTTCACCAACTTCTCTACATTTTTCAGTTCACTTGTCTTAAATTGATAGTTAATTATTGCATAACACGTTGAGCTCTTTGTGTAAATAACCTTTAAATTCTCTGAGCTATGATTCATATTCTGTCTTGGACAACCAAAAAGCATCAAAAAACACTTTCCAGGCAACTACAGTCAAAGTTCAAGAAAATTAATTAAAAGGACTTTTCAAGACTGTGCGGACCCTGGTTCCACCTCAGGTAGGAGTCATCAGCGAGGCATATCTGTCATGTGGCGTGCGGGATGGCGTATTATCTGCCCTTTACTGGACCTGACGAAACGCCAGGTCCACGCCTGAGTAGATAAGGATTACCAAATCTCTCCTCCGCAGATTCTTCCCCCCCTCCGGGTATCCCACTAAAAATAGCAATTTTCTTTTCCCTTCTCCACAGCCTCCCTACGACTCAAAGAGGCCTCTCAGGGGAGGAGAGAGGGCTACCAACAAGATGGTGAAATGCGGAGTCATTCCTGCTGACTTTGTTTCTTTTTTTTGTCTCCCAAACGATCAACAGCTGTCCCTCGAAAAAAGGCCTTTTGGTTAGCTGATAAAAATTAAATCATGTTTAAAAGACCTCTTTAGATCGTTTGTTTTCCCAATGCAGGACATTTGATAAACTCAATGAAATTCTCTCTTTGTCTTTCCGCGCGTTATGCGCAAATATGCACGCGGTGAAGACGAAATTTGAAGGAACTGTTCCCCAGAGTATGCATCATCACATTACGTGCATCTTTTCCTATTCAGCAGAAAGGGTAAGACCTAGGTACGAGATTATGGGCATAGCCTAAAATAGTCATAACTTACTGGGTCTATAGTCTACTTTGGTCGCTTGGCAACCCGATCAATGTCTTCTGCTGCCTTTCTTTTCAATCCTTCTTCCAATGACTGCCCTGTTGAGACAGCAACAAGTACAAACAAAAATGGAAACCAACAAAGTTTTTTCCCACCCCTCTAACATCCAGTTTCGGCGACTTAAATAGTCCACGTTCGACATATTAAAATTTTAACATGACGCTGAGGCTTTCTGGTCATTTTTCGTCATTTGGTTTGATTTACTTTGTGCTCAAGTCTCTTCTGGGAATTGCGTGACAATAGAGTATTGAAAAATTTGCAAGTTTAGCCGATCCCCCCTTTGAATGTTATTTCACTGAAGTGATCCCCCCTAATAACTTTTGATGACTTTCCTTATCCCTCCACCCCATGTCTTCATTTTCCAAGCAAATTTGAGTGGTCCCCCCTCTGAATCCTTCCAAAGTTTTCAGCGATCCCCCCTTTTGGGTTCTCAGTTACGACTGATCCCCCCCTTCTGTTTTCCTAAAAATCAAATGATCCCCCCTAAAAGCCTCCGCCCCCCCCCCTCCCCCAAGCGATAAATAATGACCGGTCCCTTAGAATTTGATATAATCGAACGTGGGCTATAGCGATGAGCTTATTTCAACTGCAGTTTTGAAAACCATCTATGTTTATTCATTTTATTACTAAATAAAAAACTCCACACTTCATCCGTGGTAAGGCAATACCCATAGAAGTAAATAGTGGAACGCGTGCTTTACCTGAGAAGTCTGGGCACGCGACTGTTTCATTGATGAAGTGTGGACAGTGGGAGTGAATTCTATTTATGAAATTCAGTTAATCAGGTGGTGAAATTTATTTTCAATGTCTATTAGCAGCTACCATATCGAAGTGCCTTACCGTCTGGATTCTCTCCCTGGCATGTAGTAATAACGGACTGTTGGAACAATTTATCATTCATGGTTATCTCTGTCTGGGTTTCAACATCTTTTGTCACTGCACCTGCAAAAAAGACGAATAACATACATAGACTATTCATAGAGAAGATTACAATTTCCTATTATCTGTGGACTTTTTTCATTAGTATACTTATGAATCACAAGAGTATTTTATGTTTTTTTCCACACACAGTGACCCTGAGTGAGAAGGCCACTAACTGGTCTACTCGCGAGGGCTTCTTCATTACTAAGTACATTTGATTCACTGTATCAAACACTTGTACAAGGTTTTTAAAAATGCTTTCGCCGCCTTAAGGCGAGACCTCCCCTTCGCATTTGTGCTGAACGCACATCGTAACACTGGAAGGTTATATTATTACGTTGCAATATCAGGTGTTTAGTAGCAAGTCCCTGATCTAATTTGTCCCAAACAATGTCACCGAGTAGTCAAACACAGGTTAGCTAAGAGAATTGTAAATTGTAATTAGGACACCTAATGAAACATGATCAATGAATGAAAATCCCCCACTTCAAGGGGATTGGGTACTAGCTTTAAGCGCAATGATTTCTGGGATCGTTTGAGTGGACAAGAGTTAGTAGCGGAGCTCCCGCGCGCGCGAAGCGCGCGCGCAGCGGAGCACCATGGGTAAGAAAATCTGGTAAACCATCCATCCCAGAAAATTTGGTTATGACGTAGCGTACGCCCGTCCGTACACACACTTCATGTAAGCCGATGTCAAATGTCACAATAGATCTTGCACAACTTGACTAGCCTCTTAGTTATGTAAGCCATCCGTATGAGTACGATTAGATTGACAGCTGTCAAAATCAGACATCCGCTGACAATTATCACATGACCGTCTCGCGGGCTCAGATAAAAGACCAGTCGTTTTGCCCCTATATATAAGCTGATATAATATGTCACACTTACCAATTCAACATAAAAACGAAACTACGCCGGGCAAGGCTGTCAGTTGGCTGACAGTCGTTTAAAGTTACATTGGCAGGCCAAATTAAGGTCAATTGACAGCTGTCAAAATGGGACATGTGCAGACCGCTATCAGAAGGGCTCAGGTTCGCTCAGGTACACGATCTGGCATTTTGCACTACATGCCGGACGGAAATGTCCTACTCACACTCGTGGTCTGTTAATTCGAATATTCGCCATTCTAATGAAGGTTAATTGACAGCTGTCAAACTAGAGTATACGCTGACCATCGTCACCTGAGTGGATCGCGGGCTCATTTTTCTATCTATTGAGGTCACGTAGTGTTTAAAGTTTTGCGCTGATATTTTATTTGATCACGGGCTCAATTCGAAGCCCCATAGCTTTATAGAAAATCTATCCATCCTAGAAAATTCGGCAATCACGTGACCGTACACCGACCACCCGACCCTCCGTCCGTCCGCACCACAGGCATACCAATGTTTAATCTCACACTTTCTAGCTAGTTTGGGAGCTTGCAACCTGATATTGTACTTCCATGTTTTGATTAATTGACAGCTGTCAAAACAGTGTTTCTGTTGACCAGTATCGCCTGACCGTATCGCGGGCTCAGGTATCGACCTTTAAAATGCGTATGAAATAAGTCGTGTTTCATGAGCCGCACTTTTAAAATGTTGATTTCGAACTGATCTCGGACACGAAAATTCAACCGGCTTTTACATTTACATGCAGGGAAGGCAATCGCTTTTGACTTTTCTCACTGTCACGCGTTGATCACGCTCTACGTCCAATTTTTATGTTCTGATTGGTCAAAATTTGACAGGTGAGTTTATGCGGAAAATTTTTGCAGCGTCTGGAAACTTGCTTACTGATAGCTGGAGCTGAGAGAGTTTTGTGCCATCTTGTGATGCTTTAAACTGTCTTTTTCTACTTGGTGTAAAAAATGAAATACAGCTGCTATCAAGGTTGTTCTGTACATGTAATTCGTGGCTGGTTTGTTTATTGCGCTTTTTGTTGACAAATGCACCGCTTGTCAAAGTCATTGGAAATCCGATTTCGGATGGCATTGTTTTCAAAAATGAGCTTACTCGCTTGCCCTTACTTGAGGCGTAAGAAGGTTGAAAAGTCCCAAGCGATTCTGGAACACTTGATGACCTTCAGAAGCAGCATCTCGACTGGTAAGCTTGAGCCATTATTGTTTTTGATGTTTTTTTTTTTTCGGTTTCCTGAAGTCGAGCGTATGGTTTATGCGGCTTAAGTTAAAACACGAGCAATGATCTAACCTACAATAGTATCAGGTTTAAAAAGCCTTTAGACATTTTTTGACCCGCAAATTCAAAGAAAAGGTTCCGAAGATTATTTAGTTATGTTTTGGGCTGTAAACAGAAAGCTCTGAGCGATTTTCTTGCCTCGAGTTCATCTTGAAAAAGAGCGAACACCGGGAAGCCGGCTTAAAACATAAATAAGCTTATGCTTGCCTGACTCATGATTTTCTGAGACACTTTACTCTCAATACTTCTCTTCGTGAATGAAAATTATTGTCTGTGTACATGTTTCACCGAATTAAACTTATTTTATTGATTGTTAGTAGTCCCTCTCGCAGTTTTCATCGCTGCACCGGTTGTTTCCAGACATAAACATTGCATGTAGGAATACTCAAAACGCCGCGCGTAAATATTACTCGCTTTTAAAGATTACAAAACAAAATCATACACAGTTTAATGAATAAAGGGAAATAAAACCTAAACATAACAATTTCTCTATCATGTTGAAGCGTAAATGGTAACTCTATTAATCGCACTGCAAATTTGGTGCCTGTCAAAAGTGAGAACCCATCCGGCTGGCCGAAAAGTGATTTTAAGGACCAGATTTTTCTAACAGAAAACGTTTTATAATTCAATGCTATAATTTGTTGTGCAAAGGAAGCGCGTGCTTTGATCGTCGTGGATATTGAATGAGTGCAAATTCTCTTGCAAAATCGTGAAAAACTGCAGAATTATAAGTTTAAATAGGGCAAAAAAGAACAAATTCTGTCCGAGGTCTGTGTACTGGTTACCTGAGACGTGATGAGAAAAAGTATGTTTAAAAGGCTGGTTTACACGCCACCAGATTCGTCACCAAGATTTACTAGTAAACTAAACTTGTCGAACACAAAAAATCCGGCCTGATTTTTATTTTGGCCTTTCTTTTAGACAGAGGAATGCAACGTGTAAATTGGCTGCCACCAAGGACTATCGTGGCGCATGTGTTTCTTAAAATTATATTTCGGGGTTGTCCAATAATATTATCCATAGTCTCTCTAACGGAGCAATGTTGGAGAGACTGGTGAATGCCACATTATGATGCTACAGCTAATGCAAATACAATACACGAATAGGTCTATTTGTTTTCCAGGCCTAATCTACTGTGATCGAACATGATTGGTATTTTTCGGTGTACAAGTAACTTGATGTAAAATTTGTTTCACTCTTGGACGGTCGAATTCTGATTTTTCTCTAAAATCACTCAGCTTTTGCCTCAAAAGTCAAATGAATGTGCCCTGATCTGTGGATTACAAGTTTATTGTTTGATTTAAATTATGAATTTATTAACGGGAGCTTCGCTTTTAGCCCTGGCTAAATCTATATATTTATGGTTGGTTAATGGTTGCCTTGAATACCATCGACCAATCACGGCACAAACGGTCCCAAGAACGAAGTCCAAAGACTACTGCAAAGCTGATTCAGAACAACGTGTATTGTTTTTTAAACATAACATTATTTCGGCTGGCCATACCAGCCTTCTTCAGGTTTACAGATGTTACTAAACTTACGTAGGAATCATATAAGCTAGTACCCATTTCCCTTATAGCTTCTGGAGTGGGGAGAGTTGTAGCAGTTACCTTTATAATGAGGCACGTGTTGGAAAGCCATAGGATTACCGAGGATGTGAACTGTTAAAGAAGCGGCCATAACACTTGCATGATTTGGTCTCCAGGCATCTGTGTCAGATTTCTTAAGCTTCCCATCAGCAAAGTCGAAAACTCTTTTAACGACGACACATTCCATACTCAAGGCACACACGGCTGCATAGAGACCTGCAAGGACAGTTTTAACTCTGTAAAAAAGACCACCCTACAGCAATCACCTGAGGGAGTCAATAAAACGTATTAATTAGTTAACTCAATTATACAAGTCAAAACTGCAACTAGAGTTCTTTATACTCTATACTTGCATAGTTTCGTAACTTCGACTGAGCGCATGTGGTGGGGCGGGGCTGTTCCCATATCAAGGAAAAAAGAATGCATATATGCTTAACTTTGTAGGCAAGGGATCATTTTTTTAAATATTTTCTTCAATCAAAAAGGGTAATTTATCTTACCGACACCGTCCCTTTCTATATCAATGGCATCAAGGAAGAATTGCTTGGTAAGTTCTCTACTCTTTGAGGGAAGATCTCCTAGCTTTGTCTTTAACAGTCTCTTGGCTGGCAGGTTTTTGGCATCGATCGCTGGTGGATCTCTGTTACTGTTGTTGTTGCCCGAAGAGTCGATAATTGATGCAACGGAGGCTTTTAAGTCTGCCATTTCTAAATGATATGTAATATAGCAAACAAATATAATTATTATGTCAAAAATATAACTATAATGATCATGAGGCAAGTAGTACCTGTTTAGCTTTTCATTTTGTCAGTAAGAACCAGCGGTTACAAGTTCCTTTATTTAAAAAAAAAATTCTTAATAAAACTTTTCTAATTTTTTGTTTTCTTATTTTAAAGTTAACATTTTTCTTTTATAGTATATCAGGTTATTATCATGATTATCAGTGTGATTATATATTGCCCGCCATCCCTTCCTTTTTAAATTAACCAGAATCATTATTTGGTAGACTCCGAAGAAGAAAGACGCAGTGCCTTTTGAAAAGTTAACTTTGCGTTTTATCCCAGTCTTGCTTTATCTGTTAGCCTGTTACTTTGTAGGCTAGACGTGATGGGCACTTCAATATTTGGCCATTTGGACTAGCTTGCTGCTAAAGAGAATATGGTTTTCAAGGTCTTTCGTTCTAAACAGGCTATGCAATTTCACTAAGACCGACTTTGGATGTCCTGACTGCAGGAAACTCGTGGAATTTATTCACGGTGGTTAAGGGCCTGTTTACATGGAGCTGGGGGGACACCAGGTCAAGGTAACCAGCTTACGACCCTGCCATCCCGGGTGCAGTTTGTCAAGATTATTAGCCTGGTGGTCGCTATGAATGTAAACAAAACAAAATGGCGGGAAAACGACGTGTTTTGGGGCCCTGATCCTTTTCTGTCGGCTCTTACTTAAGCTTGTTGCTTTTGCTAAACCTTTCAGTATTGTGGCTCTCTATTGTTACTTTTAACGATACGATAAGTCTACAAAGCTACAAAGTTAGTTGTTCTGATGTAAATACGAATCTGACCCCGGCTAGGCGGGCTAACCCACCTTAAAAATAACAAAATTTGACCCCGGCTGGTCTGAACAACCCGCCTCGACGGGCCACTCCACCTATCACGTAAACTTGATCAAATTAAAACTAGTAACAACCAAAGGTTACGGAGAGCGGGCGACAACGATCGAAGGTCAAAACGCTTTTTCTCCAGCGCTGTGCCTTGCGTAAGTTTCACGTGACAGATGATCAAAACACACGAGATCAGATTACGAGTGTTAGAAGGTCCAAACGCGCGTGATCATAGTGCGTTCTGTGCATTCCATAAATTCTTAGTAGAAGTCCAAACGAGTGCTGCCTACATACATGTGACGCATGCGTAATAACAACCTGAAGATTAGGACAGCGGGCTCCTCTTGTCGCATCAATTAGAAAAAAGCATACTTTGAGCTGGTCCAGCAAATGACTTTTCTTCTGACGATGCATAAACTAGAACTTGTCCGATCCCGCGTGGATCTTTAAAAATAACGCCAGGGAGATACACCGTATTCACAAATGGCGGACACGCGGGAAAAAACTGGTGCCTAGTCATGAAAGCGAGGCGTTGGAGGGTAAACAAAAATTGCAAATGAAGACTTTCAGTGAACTTGCAGAGTGTTTAGCACGGATTCCACCTAAAATAACTTTGTACGGACTTCTTTTTAAATACAATTACGTGGGATGTCTTCTGCTTTTAATGTTTAGTACTGATTTGCTGTTTGCAATCAAAAGGGACGCGTATGTCTTCAAGGAAACAGGACGATTTTGTAGGTTTCCGAAGCATCAGAAGCTCGACAAGTGGGCGATGGCTGGAGAAAAGCGGCAAACATGTTGGCCCAAACTTAACATTGATACCGAGTTCAAAAGCCAGCTCACCATTTGTGAATACGGTGTATAAGTTAGGCTTTATGCTCACACTATGGAGGTCGTCTACCATGCCGATTGCGGACCACATGTCTCGTTGCTGTTTTTACTTAACCTCATATTTCAAGCGTAGCTAACTGCGCCATTAAAAGATAAGGTGAACACTTTTACAGCATCTTGTTGCATTGTAAACTTCTGCACTTGTGGACTACGGGTGCAGGGTGCAAAGAGAGTCAGTTTTCCAGCCTGCCATTCGGGCAAGCTGTAGCTAGCATGTACTAGCTCACAAGTCATTTCAACTAGCCCCAAGACCCTTTTCGATGAGCAGGATTGATTACAATCCTCCTGTAATTTGAATTTCGCCAAAAAACAGCACTTGGCAAGTTAAGAACAAAAATCACTAGCCCGATAGCAAAATACACTAGCCACGGGCTATCGGACACGACTTTCTTTGCACACTGGGGTGGATTTATCACACCTTCTTATATTGCTATTATTCAGAAAAAAATTGAACATACCTTTCGACAGTTTTTTCGTGTCCAGATATATTTGGCTGCAAACATTCTTGACCTCTTGCAATTCTTTCTTGAAGTCCATGTCACGAAAGTACCACTCATTTAACTCCTTTGCACATTGTTCCTCCGCTGATGTTATGGGAAGCTTGGAAAGTTGATCAATTGCTGACTCCCACGGTTCACTTCCCTCTGGAAGATACTTTGCAATTCCGATCATAGCACCTTTGATGAACTCCCACAATTCAAAAAATGATTCGTCGCTAATTTCGTGGTTATAACATGGATGACAGATTTGATTTCGATAATACTTGATCCTTACCAATTCATCTAATACTTTGTGATCACTTTCTTTAGGAAGTTCATCCCAACCACCATCTGGTTCTTCGAAACCACATACTTGAAGCAATTTAAAAAGTAAGCAAATGTCAAAGTCATCAGATGTGACACACCTTCCTCCTAATGGGTACAGGCGTTTACGTTCCTGGTGGTTTACCCGTGGAAGTTTTTTAACAAGATAGCTGAGCTTCTCACGAAGCGTTTCAGGTGGACACACATGGTTAAAAAGGTCTCTGAAAAGGCGAGTACCTGCAACCATTATGAGTCGGGCAAACTGCAGAAAGTTATCTTTCTGTCCTGTACACTTTAATACCTCATCTTTACTCAGTGAAGGAGCTGTTGTGGATAGCATCTTTTGATTATGCCTTTGTCGTGACATTGCAAACCAAATTCAAACCTAACAAAATAAAAACATAGAACTGAAATGTAGTATATCGTTTCATCTCAATGGTAAAAGAACAACTACAATATATTTCATGTGTAGCATATCATGCTTTACCCTGGGTGCCAGAGACTTTTTCTAGCGCGGTTACCGGTTTCTGTCAGTCTTTATAGTGACCCCCGCGAAAAGCCTCTGGAGCAGAGCGCTATTGCTTTGATGGCGCCGGTCCAATCGTTAGTACGGTTAAATCAGTTGGTCCAGATTTTGGACAAGACGGCTGATTGGCTCCTAACGACCACCTTGGGGACTTTGAAACTAACAGACGCTACAATTGGTTGACAAGAATAGACCAGCCGGTGAAAGAATATTTCCAACTGTGCTGTTGACTTGACGTAAGTGTACCTGCGAGAAGTGTTGTGATGGCAGCGTCGGAAAGTTTTGAAAGAGCATTGAAGGAAAGCATAAGCAGTGTACTAGAACGGTTTGATGGTGTAGGAAACGATTACAACATGTTTTGAAATAATTCGTATTGGTGGATTAGGAATATATAAACAAAACATGTATTTTTAGTATAAACAGGGCGTCGGTAGGCAACACACGACTTTTACCTCGTGCCAAAATGCTGCTTGTTCCAATGAATTTATTTTTTCTCTGGCGGGTAGACTATGCTCTAGAGGAACACGTTTTGACTGAGCAAATTTGATTTTTGCCGCTTATTTCACACTGAGAGGTCGTGACACGCATATTGACTTTCTGCAGTTATTGTTTCTGATCGGCATGATTTGCCCTTTTATGCAAGAGCACTTTCTTTGACCTCTTTTGAAATGTAAAAGTCTTCATTGCGGCTAAATAAGGATTTTAGGTTGTTTAATTTCTCCAAAGTGCCTCCTGGATCTGCATATAGTCCAGTCAAATTGTGGTTTAGCATCAAACTAATTGCAACAGAATTTGTTTCAACGCCATTTAATTGTTGGGTGGCTTTGTAACAACATACTAAAAATCCGCCAAAATCGGTTCGGTGAAACATGCGAAAAATTGACAATAAAGATTTGCAACTTTCACCACAGGAAACCCAATTTCAGGAAGATCACAAATTCAGATAAAACATTTGATAATTTTTTTTCCTCAAGAATTTTCGATACAACATCGGTAATGTATTTTGGGTAGTTTTGGCTTAAAAACGCCGACTAAATGTGAGAAACACCTGGGTCAGTGTTTCGTCTTGACGGCTTTGCACAGGTTACCCAGCCACTCGTTTGTCTTCACACTCTGTTTTCCAAGCTGTAATTTTTTTTCTATGACGGTATTTAAAAGGGAAATTATTAGTCGGTCTGCATTGACATGATTAAAAATATTAGTAATTCTATTTTATTTTTTTGGCGCAATATCAGAAATGCAGAAAGTATTTTTAGTTTTACAGGCTTCTTATTTTTTTTTTATATCCTGCAGCATGGAATCAAATTTAGTAGCTGACTGATGGTGAACAGTTTGATTTGATATTTTGTTCACCTTCAGTCAGCTAGAAAATTTGCATCCATGCTGCGGGATACGTGCAACTAAATGAGTGCAACGGACGATAACTTTGTATAACCTTTGCAAACGTAACAACGCTTTTCCTTTAATGAAAAGGCATTTCCCTCTCATCAAATTCATTGGCATTGGAGCTTAACCTGCTCAAAAACTCTGCATTGTTGTGCGTCGTAAAGAATTAATAGAACTATCCTCTCCTCCTCTCCAATTCACTTTTAACAAGAAGAAAATGAAAAGTTTCGAAAAAGTGAAACTTGTATATTTTAGGATGCTGGTACGTTAACAAAAATTAATGTACAGGTAACCGTAAAAGCCAAAGCATCATCTTGCTGGATTTTGAAAACGTACCGAACGAAAATTGCAGTCTTTTCACTGAGACAGGGACCAAAAGCCGAAAGGAAAATGAGCCCAAAAATCCTCCTCGAAAAGAACAAGGAAAGGAAAAATAGAAAAAGCGAGGAGAAAGAAACGAGGAGAAGAAAGAAGAAGAATGGCTGCACTCTTAGTTTTTATATTGACTTCTTTAGAGATAGTTGTTGAAAGAAAAAACTGTTTGAGGGGAGAGCTCTATTTTGGCTGTAACGTTATTCAAAAATCCAGCTCTGATATATATTTTTCTTACCCTTGCAGCTAAAGAAATCTGATTAAAAAGATATCTTTTAATGATCGAGTAACGGCTTTCATTTTTCAGATTTAAAGCCTTACGACTAAATTTGTTTCAGTTTTACAGCCAACAATTCATTCTATTACTCTGAAAGCCTCCTGTTGTTTTGGGGTTCCTTGAGTGCAACATGGGCTTCCTGTGCGAAAGCCAACCGTGTTTAATATTCATCCCTTTTGAAAAAAGAACCACTTCGTTTTTATCAGCGAAAACTAGGTAGCAGTTATTCTTTCTTGTTTTACTTTCCCATAAAAGCAACAAACACATTTTGTGCATTTTTTGTTTAACCGTATAATTTCAACTAACGTGGGTGCCCTGTGCTAAAAGCTCAAAATGTTTAATGCTTCATTTTGACATGTTCCGCCGAACGGATTTTGGCGGATTTTTAGTATGTTGCTAGATAGGCCGCCCTTACTTACATGACGTTGAAAACAATTGTGTTGCAATTAGTTTGATGTTGAGCCTCGAAAATGCCTAGATTGACTGGACTAATAATAATAAGCAATTTTCTTTTTGTCCGTGAATGTAACGGTTTCCTGCAATATTTTGTCACCCTCGTTAGCGTTTTTAGCAGGATGTTAAATTGTCACAGATAGTGATTTTCAGATCAAATCTCCAAGAATGGATTGCAGCTTAAACTTAAGCTACATCAACTATGGAGAATTGCCATGTAACTCAGTCATGATTTCTCTTAAAAGTATGAATCTTAAACTTCAGCTTGTTTTTCTATATTGAAGGATAATGTGAGTCATGCGACATTTCTTCACGTGCTGGTCCACATGATCACAGTTGGAAACTTCCAATTTGATTGGCGTAAATATAATCCGAGAAAAAGCTCAAAGGTCAACGGGGACGGTAAAAAGCACCGCTCCGTTGCACGCGAGAAAAACCTGTGGTACCCAAGGTAATCATGCTTCAACCTTGGACAAAACTGTTGAGACAGTTCCACCTACTTTATAAATTTGTGCCACATTGGGGGTGTGCCGGGCACAGCTGGAATGGACTGATGCATAATTTTGCTGCGTGCATTTTGTACACAAATGTTACACTCGAAAAAACTTGAGGTGTGAACTCAAAATCGAAAGTCGAACTGGACCTTGAATGCTGAGAAAAGGATAGGTAATTATTTGTGTGTTAAAAGTATCACTTGATAGAACTTGGGGGTCAGTGTAAATGCAAAATTTGCAATAAATTTACACTACAGTTATAAGAAAAATTTAGCCATAAAGTCCCTTTGTATATTCTACAAACCGAGAATTTAGTCATTAATTAACGGCTAAATATTTTCCTTCTTATAGAAATTATTTAGCCATTAATTAACGGCTAAACATTTCCTCTACATATGTAGTAAGTGAAAATTAGCCATTAATTAACGGCTAAATATTCCTTCCATATATATGTACAGTAGGTAAAATTTAGCCATTAATTAACGGCTAAACATTTCCTATATATATGAAAAGAAGGTTAAACTTGGCCATTAATTAACGGCTAAACTGTTCCTCTATATATGAAAAGAAGGCTAAACTTAGCCATTAATTAACGGCTAAACATTTCCTAAATATATGAAAAGAAGGCTAAACTTAGCCATTAATTAACGGCTAAACATTTCCTATATATATGGAAAGAAGGTTAAACTTAGCCATTAATTAACGGCTAAACATTTCCTATTCATATGGAAAGAAGGTTAAACTTAGCCATTAATTAACGGCTAAATATTCCTTATACACATATGTATAGCACGTAAAACTTGGCCGTTTCTTAACGGCTAAACATTTCATTTTATATATATGTAGGAAGTTAAACTTAGCCGTTAATTAACGGCTAAATAATTCCACTATAGGTTAGAGAGAAGGTCAAACTAAATATTTCCTTTTCGTTTATAGAGGTTTAACTTAGCCGTTAATCAACGGCTAAATAATTCCAATATATACCTGAGAGAGGTCAAACTTAGTCATTATTTAACGGCTAAATATTTTCAACATATATACATTAAGGAGGTCAAACATAGCCATATTTTTTAGGAGGTTCAACTTAGCCATTAAATAACAGCTTAATATGTACGAACTATAAGGACCGCGCAGGGGAGAGGGTGGGGACACCGTAATTTTTAGGGAGTTATTATAACTCCAAAAATGGAGTAAAAATTTTAGGTACAGGATAACCCCTTTTTTGGGGTTATTTTAACTCCTAATTTAACTCCGAATTTGGGGTCATTTTTACTCCTGAAAAAGAGTTCTTTTTACTCCCAGTCTTGGAGTTAAAATTACTCCGAAATGGGGTTACTTGTACTCCTTACAGGGAAAGTGGAGTAAAAATTTTAGGTACAGGATAACTCCTTTTTTGGGGTTATTTTAACTCCTCAATATCTGGGGTCACTTTTACTCCTGAAAAAGAGTTCTTTAAACTCCTTTTTGGAGTTAAAATAACTCCACGAAAAATAACTCCACTGTAAGGAGTTAAATTAGCCCCACTAGAGGAGTTATTATAACTCCCTGAAAATTACAGTGGAGGTTCAGTAATTTGACATTTAATTCTAAACGGCCTCAAAGAGAGATTACTGAATCAATATCCCTTCTATAACTTTCTGAGCTATTTTGTCATTTTTTTCCTTTCCTTTTTTATTAATAATCTTAAGTCCTTTGTTATACATAACTTTAAGGGGCACAATATTAGTTTATCTAGATGTGCCCCTCTCCTCTCCTTCCAATATACAATGTAATTCAATTTAAGTGTTGTAATTTCTATTTTACGCGTTTATTTCCTTTGTAAATCTTTATCTCTTACTATATTATTTTTCTTAGTTATATTTACATAACTATGTATCAGCTAGGAATTGGAGGAATAAAAATAAATAAAATAAATAAATAAATAAAAGAGAACGACGAAATTAGACCCCGCTTCTCACCGGACCTCACATTAAAAGAACTGCTCCGCGGTTCTTTAAGCCGTTATTTGATTCGGCCAAGATGGGGTGTTTATGCTAGCACGTGACTCTCGCTCACAGCCTTTTTTTTGTCTCTTCATTCAAAATGGTTGTGAGGAAAGATCAAAGGATAAAGAACGTCAGAAGCCAGTAAAACCAGGAGAAGGCCGTGGGCAAACGACTTTTGTTGTGTGGTCTACTTGGTTTTAAGTAAGGGTGGTAGAGAAGGGGGCTTTTGCCAGGAAAGAAAAGTTTCAATTTGGAAAGAAATGCAAAGCCCAATCATGGAATGACATGGAAATTATCCCTCCTCCCTGGGAATTGTTTTTCAGAACCACTGCAATTGCCCTACGCTAGGGGCAAAATAACGGCTAAAAACGCATGACACTTATATAGTGGGAAATGGTTAGCCGTTAAATAACGGCTAAGTTTAGCTGTCTCTTGATATGTATTTGAAGTATTTAGCCGTTAATTAACGGCTAAAAATGCATTACACTTATATAGTGGGAAATGGTTAGCCGTTAAATAACGGCTAAGTTTAGCTGTCTCTTTATATGTTGGAAATATTTAGCCGTTAATTAACGGCTAAAAATGTATGATACTTATATAGTGGGAAATGGTTAGCCGTTAGATAACGGCTAAGTTTAGCTGTTTCTTCATAGATAGTTGAAGTAAAATGCATGACACTTATATAGTGGGAAAAACTTAGCCGTCTCCTTATATATGTGGGAAATATTTAGCCGTTAATTAATGGCTAAATTCTTGGTCAGTATAAATAGTAAAATTTAGCCGTTAATTAGTGGCTAAATTCTTGGTTAGTATAAATAGTAAAATTTAGCCGTTAATTAATGGCTAAATTTTTCGTTTGTGTAGATAGTTAATGAAAATTTAGCCGTTAATTAATGGCTAAATTCTTGGTTAGTATAAATAGTAAAATTTAGCCGTTAATTAATGGCTAAATTTTACGTTTGTAATAATACAAAGTGGCTCAACGGCTAATTTTTTGTTATGTCTGTAGACAAAAATTATTGCAAATTTAGCCATTGTCTAAACACCGGGTCAAATTCAAACTAGGTGAACTTGAAAGGGGAAGAAACCAGCTGATTCCCGATCTTCAGAAGTTCTATCCGTCAGAAGCAGATGGATAGAAAGTGTTAGATGATCCAAACTCATTCAGAGAAACTTAACTGACCCAGATGTTGAACTTTTCATGAACTTAACTCACTAAGTTTGGTTTGTCTCACAAAAAGTTAGACGTTTGTATGGGCGGCTATTACCACCAAAAATACAATCATGTCAAATAGCACAGACAAAACGCAAATGGTCTAGTGATGAATTAGGAAATGGTTCAAATAATAAAGAAATGATCATTCTTAAAATAAAATAGTCTGTTTTTTTTGTGTGAAATGGTTCACCTAAACTACAAACGATTTGGTCAGATGTGAAGCTGTTCACTGGTAGATGTTAATCTTAAAACGATACTGCCAAACAAGAATCGGTTTGTTTACGTTATAATCCATCAATACACCATGTGCGAAACGATCGAGCTTGATAACCAGTATTTCCCACTGTTACGAAATATTCGTATCAGTACGAACACCCCTTCTCAAACCCCAGCTACGCGCCTGAATGGACAAGTCAAGAGTTAAATGGACGAGTCAAGACTGAAGTGGGGTCTGACATAATGTTTTTTAATTATCCATGGATGGTGCGAAAGGTGTTGACAATGCTCCTACGCGGCTATGCCCCGGACCGTTTGTAATTCAATTCAATTCAATTCAATTCTTGAAGAGCAGTTTTTATTTCTCGTACCTATTTTTGTTTGAAGTCAGGAAGATAGGTAGTTTCTGATAATATTAAATTTTGATGGAAATACCGTGTATAAATAAAGTTATCTATCTATCTAAGATAACCCAGGGTTAAGTGCGAGATTTAAATTGAGATTTGAAAGCTTAAAAAGTATGTCGGTTTTAATTCTTTTTGTCTTCAAGTTGATGATTGGAAGCTCTAAAAATAACAGAGGAAATTATCCGAGAAAATGCTTTTCAACACTAGAAAATGAAACCCAGGTTAAATTTAACCCTGGGTTAAGCGCTAATTGGCCTTCGAACAACTGGGCCCTGGTGGTTTGTAAGCTGTGAGGGGGGGAGGGGGAGCCACTTTGGGAAAGCTGAGAATATTTTCAAACCTCCCCCCCAAATTCATCCTAGCTTTTTAGAAATGACCCCACCTTATTCTCTCTTGCCCCCCACAGATTTTATATTTTGAGAAAGTGACCCCATCAAAAAAACATGCCAAGGTTGGGGACGGACCATTAGAAAAGTTATGGGGGTAGGTGGGGAATTTTTGAGCCGCAGGAATTTTTTTTTTAGGCTGTAGCATGAAAATTTTTTAGGGTTAATTGGCGTGCATAAACTTTTTTCATTTAATTTTCCCTTGTGCGAATATTTTTTTTGTACTTCGCCCTAAGGCACCCAGACCTCAAAGTTGGTCACCCGAATAAAAATTTCAGGGGGCCCTTCGGGCACCAAACATTCCAGCTGGGGTGCCCAGGCCTCTAAGTTGGTTGCCCGAGTAAATCTGATGAAGAAGTATTTTGTAAGCACACTCATCTTACTAGCCTGCTGATCACCAAAACTGGCAATTTTAGCTTTTGGGTGCGACAAAAACCTGAATGTTGTCTTATGAAACCCATCCAAGTTTTCATGCCATTCAGATTTAAAACCAGAAACGTGAGCAATGCCGCGGAATTGTTTAGGTTTTAAAGAGGGAAAAATAAAAAATTTCAGCAGGTTTATGTAAACTTCATTAAGATGTTTGGGTCAAACATAGGAAAACTGTGCATTTTACCAGTAATACTAAACTTGAACATAAATTTTCAAAAGGTGAATCAATGTGGCATGAAATATAAAGTGACAGAGTTTACATGGCAGATCAAACTCAAGTTCCCATGAAAAATACAGTGAAACATTGAAACTGCTGCGGCCGCAAACCTATTGTTTTAATAAAAAATAAGTCATCTTTAATTTTCTTTTCTACATTATTAGTGAATCTCAATAATTGAGTTTCTTTGAAGATAATTATTATCTTAAAAGAAGCTCAATTATTGAAACAAGAAAACAATCATAAGTTATGTGTTAGCCAAGAAGACACAACAGCCAAAAACCGTAAAAATATTAAGTTTGCATACTGGTCAATAGAGCAACTTCCACTTTATACGAAAACAAGACGCCTAAAGTCGTTCCCGTGGAATGCATTGGTCTATGGAAGCATAATGGCATTCTATCTGAATTTGGAAAAATTAGGGAAATCGGAAAGATGTGTCATGTCATGAGTATCGATGAGTAGGTTACCTGTGTGGGTTGGTTTAATGTGCTTATGACTGAATTTATAGTTGTCAGTGGTCGCAAGGATGGAGTTTATCTTGTTTTGATCTATCGCCATGTAGTTATTTTCATTGCACGATTTGGGAAAAAGAAAAAGAAGCCAGTGATTTTGCATCAAAAAAAGGTTTACCCGTGTAACTTAAATTGGAATATTCACGGAAACAAGTAATGGAGAACATAATACTTTTATGAACCTAACAGGAACTATATGTATAAAGATACGTCATATCTTGGTAGTAAGTTGCCACAGGTAACTTTCTCAAAGAGAAATAAACATTGCAGTTTTAGGTTAATGGAACAAAACAAAACAAAACATCCGTTTGCTCTATCCAAGGTTACAAAGTTTGATTAAGTTCCAGTGTTTTAATCCAAGATGAAAGTTTAATACTCCAAGATGCTCTTGACCCGGTTAAAAGTTAATTGCAATGTGTTTTCAAGGTCTCAAAGTTAACATAGTTCCAATGGTTATCCATGATTCCAAGGTATAACAAGTTCGCTAAGGTCCGTATCCGTGTCCCATCCAGAAGTCCAATCTATGTCGAAAGGGGCTCTTCGATCGACAAAGACAATATTTTCGTGATTTCACCGCCAATCATCAAGGGTACAAGTTGAAATTTGCGCGATTTAACCTCCCATCGTCAAGGTGTTTTCGATATGAAAAGAAAAAACTGAACTCTAGCTCTGCTCGGCAAAAACTGGTGAACTCCGACTAGAAAAATCTATAATTTGAAATCACATCCCTCCAACCAGACGCTACTAAAACCTTAAGAAAAAGCTAGACCTAAACAAAAGAGAATCATGAAAGGGAAAAAACCTAAAATAAAAAGAAATAATTTGGCCTAGGTCGCCTCCCTTGACTTGCCAGTATCCCAAAGGATTTTGTTGGTTAACAAACCATCCTAAACCCCGAGTGGGAAAACTGACAAACGACAAATTTGGCAAGGACGTTCTGAAACGTTCTTCAGAGAAAGCAAATCGATTAAAAATCGATAAAGATTTTGTACAATCCCATTGGTCGACTTGGAAGAAGAAATAATCGATAGAGATTTTACGCAATCCTATCGGCTGGCTTTGCAATTTGTTCGTACCATGAAAAACAAACCAAAGAGGATTTTTACCGTGGGACTGCCACAGACATCCCACGGAATAAATTACTCTGTGTCACCAGCCGTGCTCTACACCTGTCAGAAAAGTATTTTCTCCTAAAAACTGTACCTAATAAACCATTCTATCTGAAAGGAAAAATTTTAAAACTATTTTGAAGCAGTACAAGAAGAAGAAGAAGCGGTACACTGGGCGGCAACCTCGTCCCCAGGGCTTTTCCCTCAAAAAATGGGTGGGGCGGGAAAAGGCCCTGGCATCGGCTGGTCACGTGTACAGCCTAAATATTCGCGAGAAGCTAATTTATATGTAACCCGCTGGTTTTGCGCTGACAGAAGGGAGTAACAATGAAAAATAATAACATCGCGAACTGTGTCAATATTTTCGCGTGTGTGCGATTCAAAAGCTTAAGATCAATTTAACTGCGCATTATTCAAATGCTAGAAGTTTATGACAGGGCGTACAAAATATGTCAAATGCTTCAGCGTTGGCTGTTATCGACTAGTACTTCAACTAAACTTCATCGTGACTGTGGAATTACTGTACGATCAAGCGGAAAGTGATTTTGTCCAATGTCAAACAAAAATGCGGGCCTTTGCCTACAGGATCTGCAGTGAATTTAAACAAATTGAACTTAATTGAAATAGAATTGTTCATCAAAATGGTTTATGGAGTCTGGTCTTCTCTACAACCCGACCATAAAACAAACAAATCTCGGCGCCGGATGCAAGTCAACCCTCCAGCCAGGAACGATGACAGGTCGCCGATCTGAAACATTTCAATACCTCTTATATCTTTTCTCTTCCGAGGATAAGTACAAAGGATTTTCCTTATATTCAAGAGAAGATCGACTGATCGGTTGGAATCAATTACTGCTCTGTCGATTTTAAATGGACCCAAGTCTTTCTTTGTTGCCAGTCGTTTGATCGCAGAGGTCAATGATTTTTTTTAAAAATACGGGTCATACCCGGGGTCATACAGGATAAGTCTAAACCAACGCGTGTCGCTATGATATGGCTGAGAGTTAAGGTGAATAGAACAAGGCTGTGTACGGCGGCCCACTTCGCAAGAAATGAAATAAGATATCAGAAGAGTCGAGAAAGCTGGCTTTTCCAGTACAACCTTTATGCATGTACGATAGCTTGTGTCATTTATACCGCTCTATAAACAGAAGTTTTACAAATGTTACTCGCTGTCCCCTTCATAGACATCGGAGGAAAGCAAAAAATTACCATAGCCAGTATCTGTGACAAAAAGGAAACCTTGTAAAACTTTTCGTTAATCGTCAAGAGATATAAAAGGTCGCCTAAGATCGTGCGCTGTGAGGTTACGCATAATTTTAGCTTTTCACAGGGCGCTAATTTATTACACCCAGGATTTTAGGGTGTACGAGGAGACACGTGACCAGCCGATGCCAGGGCCTTTTCCCGCCCCACCCATTTTTTGAGGGAAAAGCCCTGGGGACGAGGTTGACTGGGCGGCTGGGAATTTTTTTTCACTCGCCCGAAGCTAAATGTTAGTCGCCTCAGGCGACCGGGCACTGTTAGAGCACAGCCTTGCCTGTCACTAACTCATGGAAAGAATACAATTTAAAACAGCAAAATCGACCCACAAAACACATCATCTTTAAAATTTGCCTGAAGGGTAATCTGTGTGTGCAAGAAAGAATAGACCTAGACGAAATTGACAGCACAGCTTACCGGATTTACAGCTTGTTGTGAAAGTAAAATGGCTACCCCCACACCCCCCACAGCTAACAAATGACCAGCCCTTAGATACATTACCTGCAAAAAAATTTCGGACGAGTTTAATTTTAGACAAAAAAGTGTCCGAAAATAAAACCGTCCAAAATTTTTACGCGGCCAAAATTTTTACTGTACAGTATAAAACTTTTAAGTACTTTCTTGGGCAACGCCATCACATGTATTCAAGGCCAACATACATGATATACAAAGCTAGAACTCGGATTATAGGCTTTAGTGTTGTTCTTTATATCACTGGAAAGCCGAAATTTTTGTTGCGTTTACAAAAAACCTTGAGGGTACGGTAAAATTATCAATTTCACAGATGTTGTTTCAGTTTATGTTCATGTGTTATAGGCGTAAATCTACTTATGCCATGTTTCAGCAAAGTGTCTGAAATTTTGGTCCAAAATATGTCCGAAATGAGAAAAAAAGTGTCCGAAAACTAAACGTCCGAAATTTTTGGCAAGTATAAATGTAGATAGATAACTTTATTTATACACGGTATTTCCATCAGAATTTGATATTATAACTAACTGCCTATCTTGCTGACTTCAAACAAAAATAGGTACAAAAAATAAAAACTGCTCTTTAAGAATTAAATTGAATTGAATTGCAAACGGTCCGGGGCATAGCCGCGTAGGAGCATTGTCAACATCTTTTCATGCCATCTATGGATAATTAAAGAACATTACGTCAGACCCCACTTCAGTCTTGACTCGTCTATTTAACTCTTGACTTGTCCATTCAGGCATGTAGCTGGGGTTCGAGAAGGAGTGTTCGTACTGATACTAATATTTCTTAACAGTGGGAAATACTGAGAACTTTGGAATTTCATTTGTACTCAAACTCTTAACAATTTTTATTTGCACCCATAAGACTTTCCTGATACTGTTAACATTTTCTTGCAGGGAAAATTTAAACTGAGCTAACACACTCAAAGTTTGTTCTCCATTCCTCCACTAAAAAAAGGTGAAAATTAACTGCTTGTGTTTTTGGTTCTCCATCATTGACCTGCAAAGGGGGTTCGTTCGAACCCCTCGACCGCCCCCCCCTTCTACGCACCTGCTATTTCACTCTTGTATTTTTAGTGGTTTCGGTGCCAACAATTGTAAACCATTTGCCTCTTGATTAAATCATGTGACATTACATTGAATCATTTGTGTACACTTTCAACCACTTGTCTCTCAATCAAATCACTGACATTATATTGAACTATTTACGTATGCTTTAACCCATTTGTCTCTCAATCAAATCGTTGACATTACATTGAACTATTTGCGTAAAGTAAATCACTTCACATTACACTCTTTCTTTTTTATAAGAATATATTTTATAAGAATATCGAGGCTGAAATTTGCAAAATTTTAAGAATATTTTAAGAATAAACCTGAGGGTGAAATTGTAAAAAGAATATAATTTCGCGCATTGAAAATCTGTAAATACAATACAATGATAGGTTTTCACTTGTATAAAATTATTCCTTTCTCTAAACGGCAAAACTAGCAAACAAACGAAACACTCTTCACTAGCGATAGCCAAAATGTTCAATGATGAGCGAGACATGTAATGTATTTGTGCAGTACAAAATATGTACAATGCAAAAGACATGAACAAAACCACAAAATTTTTCATGATAAATTCTTTCTGTTTTAAATAACAAAACTAGGAGACAAGTAAAACAAAAAGCCATATGCTCAATGCAAATAAAGCATCATATCAGTCTTTGTTGTCTGCAGTCTGGCCCGAATAAATCCTTAAACAGAAATGTCATAAGCTACAATTAAGAATATTACACGAATATTTTCAGCCTCAAATTGGCAGAAAAATAGGAATATTCATAATGTCTCCGAACCCGAGTGACAAAACGATTTCCATGACATAAAAGCTTTTGTTTTGATGTTGGCCAATCAGATCAAAGGATAGAATACAGTTCCAGTGACTCCTTGTGATCTCGCGTGCTGGCACGTCTTGGATCGATTTTGGCGAGAGTTACCGAATATGCTTTGGAACATGAATTTCACGACTATAACAAGGTTTCCTGCGACCTTGAATGCTGACTTCTTTATGAAGCAATTGCTTCTTAAGCTATGTATGTGATGTGGGCCTTTGGTTTCGCTTTATAAAATGCGGTAATACATGACATAAACAAAACCTGGACAAAATAATCGCTACAGCGAAAGGAAATGTAGCTTAAAGACATTACACTCACACTTATTTATTTCAATTTAACCAGCCCTGACAAAAGGTGGTGACTGACTGATTCACAAATCTCTGACAATCGCTCATTAATAACTCAAGTATCGCCACAAAACAATGATCTGAAATATTATAAACCTGGGCAAGACCCAGCGTGAAATAAATAGTTATAGTAGTAAATTGATCATAGTCAAGATGACATTTCAGCTACGATGCTTCGACTCATCTTATAAAAAGCTACGGAAATTAAAACCTTGAAAAGAACATGTATTTCCCCGCTGGCAGTGGTCTCTCACGACAAGGCAAAAATGAAAGAAATACAAGAACAAATATATAATGCTTACGATCTGATCAAAGTTTTATCTGAAGCAAGAAGCAACCACGCATAGGAAATCAATTACCACATGTCCTAGCTTTCAAAGATAAAGGATATCTATAAAAAAAAACATTTAAAGCGGCACATGACAAACTATCGAAGAGTTCTCTAAGGCATGCTTTCCTGCGAGGAACCAGAAACTAGGAACAGAAGCAACAAATGGAATGATGCGTCTACTGTCATTAGGACATTTATCGTTTCGAATATGATCGAAACAACTAGGTGTGATAAATCATTGACTCTGTAGGCAAATAGATAAAAAATGTCCTCTAATCTTTTCTTCAAAATGAATCCTCTTGATGCTTATTTCATCAATCCGTTCCATAATCCTGGCAAATTTAACAACTTGCACAACAGGGGTGAATATTGTTCATTTGGCCACCTACTACAGACATGTATGGTGGCCTAGAGCTGCCATACGGATTTTGTTATATTTTCAGCTTTTTTCCTTTTATATGAATGGTTTTAGTTATTTCATTTTGTTTATTTTATTTTATTCATTTTATTCTATTTTTTATTTTTATTTCATTTCATTTCATTTTCAAAACAATTTAAAATGAAAATGAAAATGAAAGGAAATCAAAACCTTCTGTGTTAAATGAAATTAATCTCAAAGCGAAGTCAACTGAAAGTAAATGAAATTAAAACAAATTGAAAAATTTTTGACGGTGGCCTAAAACTGCCATAGACCAAGATGCCTTGCGGGCTCAACCTTGTGACAATTGTAAATGAAAAGAATGGGGTTTAGTGATAAAAGGTCACATCGAATCAAGGAATGAGCTGAAACTAACATAGTTCACTTGACAATTGTATGTCAGGCTTATAACTGGAAAACGCTAAAAATTGTACATTGCTAGTTTTATTAACACCTTACGTAAATGACATTGGTTACTGTTACGGAAAATCATATTTTAGAGTCAGCTTTGTATAAAGCAATGATTTTGCATACATTCTTGGGAACAGCAAAAATGATTTAGAACAAACCTTCTAAGTATAATGTTCATTCCGTGCAATAACGCATAAATAAAAGGTTCTGGAAGAAAAGACACCTTATTTTATACCAATGAGGACAAGCAAAAAGGTCATATGGGTACCTCGGTTAAAAATATTTAAATGACTCTATTAATTAATACCAGTTCTAATTTAAAAGAAAAAGTTACGAGAATAAAATAAAAGTTGTCTGTACCACGAAGCATGCCTTCACTGTTTAGACTGAGAGTCCTAAAGCTTTTTTAGCGTGTATTCGAATATCTTATGACGATAAGTCCGCCACCCACACCACCCTGCGCCGTACTGTTTTCATTCAGCGGCTGGTCAGCGGTCACGTTTATGAGGTAGACATGGCGATCACCTCCTGATCACCGTTCTTGTCGATCAGAAAATCAAAATACCAGTGTGATATGGTCTCGAAGATGACGCAGTTATGTTGTTGATTCGTACTTCACATTCGAGTCGAAGCTTGGGTGGCACAGGTTATTTCTTACGGTGGAATCGACAAGGGAAATTCGAACACTAGTGGTCACTAGTTGTAGTGTTTGAATTGTTGGAAGCAGGCCTGTTGGAAGAAATAATGGTCCCATGGGGATGTAGGAATGATAGGTTTAACAAACAATTTCAAATTTTGCCCCCTAAATAGAAAGTGAAGTTCATTTGAATGCTTTCGTATGTATTTCTGACCGTTTTAGATCTACCTGCTCGATTTATATCTGCTACGCTTCATGTTGACAAGTCCCTCAAAATGGCGGCAGAACTTGGAGATTGCCGAAAATTAGGTAAGTTCACGGAGTTATAAAGTTGTAGTAAAGGTCGGGCCGCAAAGTTTTTTTCTGTAGTTACCTTTTCTATGGCACCTACTTCCTAGCTATATTAGTTGGATCAAATAAGAACGCCTCACTTTTTCAAAAATGTACCTTGAATTTGATCGGTTTTCGCGTGTGTGACTTAAGCGAACCGATAAGGTGTCGTTCAAGTCTTCCTGTTTGCTTGATTGAAACGTGATGTTCACGAAAGTCGCCTCGATGGATAAGACAGAGTTATTATACATGTCTGTGGTATTTGATTTTTGCTGAGTCCCGTACTTTTTTGTAAATTGTCCTCCAAAGTTGTCTCAAATTAAAGTCTTGAAAAGTGTCACGACAGGCCTTCGCTCGAGTGAAATTTAATTTCCGTAAAACTCTGAAAAATAAAGAGATCCGATCAAACGGATTGTGGTTTTAGTACAGGTACATGAATGTCTTACAACATACACGAAATGAGCTAAATCTGTGTCTCAAGCAAAATCGACCGGACCGCTCTTACAGAGACACTCTCTTAAATGTGATTGTGCTGACTGTCTTATTTTTAGCTAAAAAAGTTAACAGATAAAAGCTATTTTTTAATCAGCCAGTCTGCATATTTCCCACGCGTGAAAAATTTGCATACTAGAAAAACAAGCAACGGAAGTAATTCTGATTGGCTGATTCGGCAAATGTCAATCAAAAAAGTGGGCGGCAGACATTTCGTTAAAGGTTTGTATCAGGCTCTCTTTTCGTTTCGCCTTGCCAGCCGGAATGTTATTACAAAGCGAAACGAAAATTGAGCCTGATCTCAGGTTACAACTGAATGAAAATACGCACTACTGATCGATTATATGACAACTGATTTATTTTAGTCACAACTGAATGAAAATACGCGCAACTGATCGATCATATGACAACTGATTTATTTTAGTCACAACTGAATGAAGATACGCACTACTGATCGATCATATGACAACTGATTTATTTTAGTCACAACTGAATGAAAATACGCACTACTGATCGATTATATGACAACTGATTTATTTTAGTCACAACTGAATGAAAATACGCGCAACTGATCGATCATATGACAACTGATTTATTTTAGTCACAACTGAATGAAAATACGCGCAACTGATCGATCATATGACAACTGATTTATTTTAGTCACAACTGAATGAAAATACGCACTACTGATCGATCATATAACAACTGATCGATTTTAGTCACAACTGAATGAAGATACGCACTACTGATCGATCATATGACAACTGATCGATTTTAGTCACAACTGAATGAAAATACGCACTACTGATCGATCATATAACAACTGATCGATTTTAGCCACAACTGAATGAAGATACGCACTACTGATCGATCTTATAACGACTGATCGATTTTAGTCACAACTGAATGAAAATACGCACTACTGATCGATCATATAACAACTGATCGATTTTAGTCACAACTGAATGAAAATACGCACTACTGATCGATCATATAACAACTGATCGATTTTAGTCACAACTGAATGAAGATACGCACTACTGATCGATCATTCGACTGATCCATTTCAAGCCCAACTGGATAAAATACGTAAAACTGGTAGATTTGTACAAGCCGGGTTTACGCTGATCAATGTATCAATAGTATAGTACCCGACAACTGATTGATAATGAACTGATCGCTTGTCAGCAAAACTGATCAAAATTTGAGACAGCTTGTCATTGATTACGGATATATGGTCGATTTTACACGACAGATTACCGATTGATGATATGCTAGCTGATCGATTTTACGTGTATCTGGTAGAAAATTAGCACAATATAATAATATTTCAATTGATCGATAACTGGTCGGTAAATCCGATCCGCACAACTGATTGATTGGAGTTCATAGTAAACTACTAAGGTGTTTCTAATAATGACGACGAAAAAGCAATGATGGAGAGATCAAGGAGTCCTTCTTTCTGATTTTAAGCGCTTAAATCCATGATTCAGAACAGAAAAAGATTAAAAATTTATAACCAATGAAAAAATTAATTTTGAAACAAACGGTGCGCCATATACAAGTCTCAAATCTGGGCGCACAGAGAAGTTGAATCTCCTGAGACAGGCAACTGATTTGATCCGACATAAGTCGTTATCGAAGCCGGAGCGAAACGAAGCGTCTGTTTGCTAGAAAACACACCGCTACATAGATTTCTGATATCATGATAAGTTGCCTTAGACCTATTTGCTGCGGGAAGTTCGAATAACTCAACAAAACTTCACTTACCTGAGGGGAAACTGCGGAAAGATGCGTCAAGGTAAACCGCAACAAGACGTGCCTCGAAGCTGCGAAACCAACAAGAAGCGAAAATGCTGCACGAAGCAAAAATACAGAGTTTGTCGCGTTTGCGCTGTAGTTTGCTGTAGTTTCAACCGCACATGTAAATACCAGATCCCAGCGGCCGAGCATGAGATCGAGGACAATGCGCCAGGCCGGTCCAAGATGGCGTTCAAACCGTGAAATCGCAGGCATAGCTAGCCTGCGTAGCAAGCGTTTCCGCGCGAGTTCGTCGAGAAAATTGGGCGAGAGCAAAAAAGAGGAATGAAGGGGGAGGGGAGAGAAGGAAACGCTTGCCCGCAAACCCCACGATTTTGAAAAATGCCCCTAGCGTTTCCTTCTTCCCCTCCCCCTCCCCCTTCATTCCTTTTTTTTGGCTCTCACCCAATTTTTTCGACGAACTCGCACGGAAACGCTTGCTATGTAAACGTGTCGTTCTGAGGAAAAAGGGCGGCTATACACAAGCTACGTCGTCCTTTCAATTTCGTCTGGTAAACATATTCACCGCACACGATCTTGCGAGAAGTCTCGCGAGTTAGTTCCTTGATTTTAAGAGCTAAACCGTGATTGGCTAAAAAGGTTTTACGTCACGGAAATCGTTTGGCCTCTCGGGTTCGCAGACGTTATTTTTCGGAGGGAGAGAAGCGACGACCGGAAATACATCTGCTGTTCCCAGGCTAAGAGAACGCTAGCGGAGTGCAATGCTGAGTACTTGGTGGTTTTCGTCGCAAGTGGTCATGGGAAGGACTAGCCGAGCAACGCTTTGTCGAGTGCCACAAGTCTCAAGTCTGGGCGCAGAGAGAAGTTGAATCTCCTGGGATAGGCAGCTGATTTGATCCAACATGGGTCGTTATCGAAGCCGGAGCGAAACAAAGCGTCTGTTTGCTAGAAAACACACCCCAACATAGTTTTCTGATATCATGATAAGTTGCTTTAGAAATATTTGCCACGGGAAGTTTGAATAACTCAACAAAACTTCAGTTCCCTAAGGGGAAACTGCAAAAAGATGTGCTTGAAAGCTACGAAACCAACAATTTATACTAAGCGAAAATGCTGCACGAAGGAAAAATACAGCGTTTGCGCCGTAGTTTCAACTGCACGTGTAAATACCAGATCCAGGCGGCCGAGCATGAGATCGAGGACAAATGTTTCAGGCCGGTCCAAGATGCATGGGTCCAAGATGGCCCAAACAGTGGTAGCAAGAGTTTCCGCGCGAGTTTGTCGAGAAAATTAGGGGAGAGCAAAAAAAGGAATGAAGGGGGGAGAGGAAAGAAGGAAACGCTTGCCCGCGAACCCCACGATCTTGAAAAACGCCCCTAGCGTTTCCTTCTCTCCCCTCCCCCTTCATTCCTTTGTTTTGCTCTCGCAAAATTTTCTCGACGAACTCGCGCGGAAACGCTTGCTACGCAAGCTAATGGCATACAGAACGGTTATACGGTACGCAAAAAGACTCAAATAGTATGCGTTCTCCTTTGTCGAAACGCAATAATATAAAAGCTTATCGTTATTATTGTGAGGCATTGTTTGTTCTTTCGAGTGCGTTGACGCAAGGATTGTTATTGCTGGTGATATTAACCAACTCGGCTAATACCTTAATGAGCCAAAATAATTTTCAGCAATTGGTTAAGTCCTTTACATCAGGTCAAAAGATACTCCATGTATTTCTCACCAATTGTCCCCATCTATGGAAGCAACCATCTGTGTTTGAAAGGCCTTGTACGATCAGGTCATCTTTTTATTCTGGTTATGCCTCGTATTGTTGTCAAGCCAGTCCGTAAAACTGTTTCCTTTCGGGATGTAAGAGAGCACCGTAAACTTTGTATGGCCAAAAAGATGGATCAGTTTGACTGGGAACGTTTCACCATTTGTGATGATCCTAGTGAAAATGTTAGGCGTTTAAGCGAGACTCTACTTTTGATGTTTAATGAATGCTTTCCAATTATTAAGGTTAGAATTTCATCCCAAGATCCGCCTTACATGTCTCCTCTTGTTAAACATTTGTGTAAAATCAGGAACAAGAACTCACGGAGTCACAGACATTCTGAAAACCCTGTCCTGCAAGAGCGAATCAACGAACTCATTCGCGCTAAACAAATCCGTGCTGTTAATGAGAGAAGAAGTGGGTATCACACCAGTTCGAGGAGGTGGTGGGATACTGTCAATATGATCACCAGTAGACAGGCTCCCAATGCACCTGTCAGCTCTACCATTGACCCGATAACAATTAACTTATATTTCCAGTCTATCAGCACTGACGATCAGTACTCCAAGCCCGAAGTCCTTTCCATCCCGGATGGCACTCGTATTCCTACAATTGAGGTGCACACTGTATGGAAGTTTCTGAGGACATTGAAGCGTACTGCTCCGTGTCCAGATGAACTTCCGTTTTGGATCGGGAGGGACTACGCTTATCAACTTGCGCCAACAATCACCAAAGTATTTAACTCTTCTCTCAAGAAGCAATTGGTCCCCTGCTTGTGGAAGCTAACTAATATTACACCTATTCCGAAAGAGACTCCTTTTGAAACATGCAATCAGCTGAGACCAATTTTCTTAACTAAAGTTATTATGAGACTCTCTGAAAGAGTGGTAGTAAAGCAAGAGCTGTCTCCTGTTGTCGCGAATGTGATTATGCAATAAGGGTGTGACGCTGTTAATATTACTTAGAACTGAAAAGAGACAAAAAAAGAGATTCTTGTACAAGTCGAGTCGAACGAGCGAGCAATGAAAATTTTGTATCGAGAACGATTAGCGTTGAGCTTGATGTAAACTTGTATCGAGAAATTTAATCAAAGCATTTAAAGCAATTCACTGTTTTGAAGTCTGCTATTGGCCCAGACCAGTTTGCCTATAAAGAAGGATGCAACACAACCATGGCGCTCCTTACTTGTCATCATCATTGGCTAAAATGGTTGGACAGGACAACAGACTTTGTAAGAGTTTTCTGCTTTGACTTCAGTCAAAATTGCAAGCTTTTGACAGTGTTCCACATGCTGTTGTTTGCAATAAGCTAATGTCACTCAATATTAATCCCTATGTTATCAATTGGATTGTCAGCTTTCTTAGTAATAGGAAGCAGAGAGTAGTCGTGGACGGCTTTGTCACCGAATTTGCTAGCATTAACAGTGGCGTATCGTAAGGTATTTTCCTCTGGCCCATATTGTTCTCTATTATAGTAAACGATATAAGACCGGTTTACCCGGAGCGCAATCTATTGCTCAAATATGCCGACGATCTTACACTAAGCGTACCTGTGTCTGCACATCAAGATCACTCTTTCATTGAGGTTAACAGCATTCAACACTGGGCGGTAAGAAACCGTATGAAACTAAACCTCACTAAGACCTGGGAAATGGTGGTGCATGGCAGAATTTCCAAACCACTGCCACCTCTGGTACGGGGAATTGAACGGAAAAGCTGGTTGAAATTGCTTGGCATAATTTTCCAGGAGAATCCATCGGACTGGGACCTTCATGTTGACAATTTGTTACGCAAAGCTAGTAGTCGTTTATACATTTTACGCGTTTGTAAATATTTTGGATACCCTAAAGAACAACTGACAAAATTATTTGATCTTTTAATTATGTCCCTGTTTTTTACGGAATTGAGATTTGGGGAGCGGCATGTCAAGGTACATACCTTGATCGCATTGACAAGTTTTTTAAGCGAGCGTTCAGTTTAGGATACACCAACAACCTGTATGCAATCGGCTGAAGTTATCAGAAATGGAGACTGTAAGCTATGGAACACTATCACGGATACTCCTTCCCATCCCCTTTATCAACTATTACCACCTAAGAAACAGAGATTTTTGCAAAACAGAGGACATGATTTTATTTTACCTGCTGTTAAAACAGAACGCTTTAAGAGATCTTTTATTAATAGGTGTCTTTTTAATATTATTTAATTGTACCTGATCTTAAATAGATTGCATTGTCATGTATGTAAAGCCATACGTATGTTGTGACTACCCAACTATGAATAAAGACCCTTATTATTATTATTATTGTTGAGTTAAAAGCTTATATTTTGAAAACTACTTCTGTTCAGATCACCTTTACCTAGACTGCATTCATTATGTTTCATATCCCCCTACATCATGCCGAATTTTTTGACATGATCCACCCTCTTGACCAAAAAAAAAATGCCACCCCCCCCCACTCCCCCTAATCTTAATGAGGAAAGTAAAATATGGCGAACATGATGAAATGGTGCAGAGATTAATGTTTACAATAGAAAACAAAAACAAAAGGTAACCAAAGGTTCACAGAATTTAGTATTTCTGGTGTAAAGCTAGTGTAAATTAAAGAGATGTAAGAGATTAAAGCTAGCTGTGTCTCACCGGGAAATTGCATACCAGGGCCACGGTGGCAGAGCTTAGGTTCAATAATAAAATGCAATCATCTCTGAATAGGTCAAATTTGGGTCCTAGACTAGCAAAGAACAAGCCCAAGTGAAAAGAAGACAAACAGAAAAAAAGCCAACAAAAAGGCAGATGATCAAAAGCTATACAACTGGTGCTAAAAGATATTGAATGGCCTAATCAGTTAAGGTAATTCCCTGGTTTTGCACTGCGCATCACCTACATAAGGAGTGCACGTAACATTGCGACTTCAAAGGTAGCGGTGATTTCACGGGTCGCCTAAAGAGAGGCAACAAAGGCCCTTTTTGTAGTCCAAATGCTTTTAATAGCTATTTTGATAACTCTTCCCTGCTCAAAGGTGTTTGTCTTAAAACTCGCCCCAGACCGCTGGTGCAAAATGATTACCGATATTTGAAGCCAAAATTGTCCTATATTGTCGTTTGCAGTGAAACGAAAACTTTGACCCGCTTTTTATTTTTGCTTTTTACTCGTTATGGCTACACAAAAAATATATTTTAAGGAGAAAAATCTAAATATCAGAAGTTGTATTTTTAGTTAGATCTGAACGATGTGACTTTCTCCATTTAGAGCGACAGAAAGTGCGAGATAATGTTAAAACTGTCTATTTCTCTACCATTCTTCAAGATCGGGTATTTTGTAATTTAGGTCACTTAATTGGAAAACGGCTTAAAGTGCTACTAC